CCAAACATACACACACACACACACACACACACATGTATTTTCATACAGCTGTAGCTAGAATTTTCTTGGGCCACCAACCAGCTCCCAAATAAAGACATGGAGACTTATCATTAATTATGAACGCTCTGCTTTTAGCTTATGCTTGTTTTACAAGCTCTTTTAGCTTATGTAACCTGTTTCTCTTCATCTACGTTTTGCCTTGGGGCTTTTTACCTTTCTTTAATTCTGTATGTCCTACTTTTCTGCTTCCTCTGTGTCTGTCTGTCTGTCTGGCCCTTGGCATCTCTTTTTCTTTCTTCCCCGAGCCTTAATTCTTCCTCCTACTTACTCTCGCTGCCCAGAAGTCCTGCCTATACCTCCTCCCTCGCTATTGGCCATTAAGCTTTTTATTAGACCAATCAGGTGCCTTAGGCAGGCAAAGTAAAACAGCAACACATTTTTACATAATTAAACAAACGCAACACATCTTTTCATAGTTAAACAAATATTCTACAATATGAAAAAGTTAAGCACATCTTTACATAGTTAAACAAATGCAACATATCTTTGCATAGTTAAACAAATATTCCGTAACACAAGCCAGGTTACAAAAACTGAAAACTCCAGTTGTCAGTGATGGTATGGGACAATGGGAGACTGTCTGCTTGTAGAAGAGCCTGGCAGACATCTCTTTATAAGGCCATGTGACAAGAGTGAGCACAGCTGCATGTGCTTCGGGCCAGCAGGCCCTGTGCACACTGTGTACCATAGCAGCAGGTATGTTCCACAGGAAGCTCTTAATGTCCACTAGCAGGGAAGAGATGTGTCAGCACCCAGCCTACAGAGGAATCACAGTAACAGAAAGGAAACAATTACTACCATCAACATGGATGATCCTCAGAAAAACTGAAAAGAACATATAGAGGAAAAGAACTGCATTTGACTTATACAAATTTGGAAAATATAAAACTCAATTAAATAAACTCCTTATGCATTTATGCATAACAGGAATAGTAGGGAAACAGGAACGGATAATCAGCATGAAATTCAATACAGTGGTTACCTTTAGGGAGGGGAGAAGGGACTCAGGGGCTCCTTCTCTATTTGTAATGTGTTATTTTAAGAACCTGAGGCAAATGTGGAAAATATTAAGATCTGTTATGCTTGGTGCTGGAGCCGGGTATTTATTTGAGATACTATTCGGCGTGCATTTCTGCATGCTGAAATCTTTCAAGATAAACTCTAAGAAGGACTCAGTTCTCTTACAGCTGAAGTTTAGAGGTACCATAACAAGGAATTCAGTTTCATTGTCTCCTAAAGAAGTGATTTTGCTCCCCTACGAGTGCACTTATTCTCTGGGACACGATTATTCTCTAGAGCTTTGACTACACTTTGGCTCTTTCAGGAAAGGATCCGAGGTAGCCTGCAAGAAAGGGCACATACCAAGAACCAGGAAGCCATAAATATAAGTAGAAGGTCGGAATCAAAGATAACAAATATTCCATCAATACTGGTTGACCACAGTGGTTGTGATCAGGTTTCCAACTTGGCTCAGAATTCTTGGCAGCAGGAACCACCTCTCCATCTTGAGCTGACCCAGAAAGGCGGGCTAGGAAAACTAACCTTTGTTCTCCAAGGTTTAAAATTAGTATTTTCCTGAGTAGTCTTCTCTCTGTTTCATTTTGTGTTTGCTTTGTTAACTAGCCAGCACACTCCCCACCCCCACCAGCCCTATTTCTCCTCTTCTTCCCCGACTCTGATCCCAGAGTATCTTACTAAACAGTCTCAGAGCCGGGAGAATTAAAGCCTGGGTTTACACAAAGAAGAGCTGACTGGGCCATGTTCGGTCTATCAGGCGAGCATGTGATCACAGTAAAGGACGGGGTGGGGGGTGGGGGGCTAGGGAGATGACTCAGTCTGTGAAATGTTTGCTATGCAAGCGTGAGGACCCGAGTTCAAGCCTTAGCACTTATGCCAAGCAGTCAAGGATGAAGGTGTGTCTGCAATCTGTAATGACATCTGCAATCCCAGCCCTGGGGAGGTGGACAGAGAAGGATCCCTGGGGCTCACTGGCCACCCAGTTCCAGCCCAATCAGCAAGCTCCAGATCCAGTGAGAGGCCTTGACTCAAAAAAAAAAAAAAAAAAAAAAAAGATACGGGGTGATATCAAGCCCTGGCTTCCACACTCAAGTGCACTAACTTACACACACATATATGAACATACACCCCCCCACACACACAAAAGATAGGAAGATGTGAATTATTACCAACTCTAAATAAGCTTCATTATAATCAAAGAAAGCATAAAACACTGAGATTGACTACATTAAGAAATATAAGAAAAACAAGCAAACTAAGTCTCTTAGATATAAAGATGATGTGACACCTGCTGCTAAATGCGGATGGCTCCAAACTGTATATTTTAGTTCACTCCAGCTTCTCCCTTCACCTCTCAACTTCCTGTAGCCATGCGCACTACGGTCTGCACCTGGACATTTAGCCACTGTCTGCTCCTCCTCTGGACAGATGCTCCATGCACCGCTGCCTCTCATCTCAGAGGGTAGCTAGTGAGTCTTCTCGTGTGCCCAAGCCAAATCCCTAACATTATCATTCACCCTTGTCTCTCCTAGCCCACATCCCACCAACCAGTAAATCTTACTGCCTCTGCCTCTAAAATAAATTCGAGTGCAACCCTTCCTGACACCTCCTACCACCGCCACCTGGACCCACCACTATCTCTTCCTAGATGTGCCTGCCTGACATGGCCTCCCTGACTTCATTCTTGCACTCGACACCTCAAGTTGATTAGCCACACACTGTTGGTAAGATATGGCCAGTATTATACTTTTCATATATCCTTACTACATAGCAATGTGCATGTGGTCATACATATTTCATGTTAGTATTTATACTTCATGTCCTTCAGTGTTCTATACATATAGACATACTGGAGAAATTCTGTTTTAAGTTCTCAACACAACAGAACACAAAAGCAGATCAAAAAGACCACAGGCAACAAGCTTACTCTTGAGGCTATTGAGACGGCTTTGCTGGTAAAGGTACTTGCCATCAGCCCTGATGACCTGCGTTCAATCCCTGGGACCTACATGATGGAAGGATAGAACAGACTACACCAGTTGTCATCTGACCTCCACATGCACACCTTAGCGTGTATACAAACACAGGCACACACACACTAAACAAATAAATGTAACACACACAATCAGTAATGTAACACACATACTCACACTCACACATGACTTTTCTTGACAGTGCATGGAGGCCGTGCCTTCTAGTTTTAGGCTGAAATATGTTTAGCTGGGCTGCCAAACCACTCTTTGCCTTGTTGTTCAGGACTCAGTTGTAACTAGAAGGCATATATTAAATTGTTGGTGAAAATGAGAGGGTACCTGCAGTGACCCCTGAGCAATCTAAAACACTGCGCAGGGAATCTTGGTTGTTGTGGTCATTATCATTCAGCAAGGAGGATATGCATCTTGGAGTATCCCCTGGCCTTATCAGGAATGGATCAGGAACTTGGCAGGGTTGTGCTGGTTCACATACCAAGCATTCAGCCGTGCAAAACACTATGAGTGGGGAGCTGATACCAGCTCCACCCTCAGCTCTGTAGCAGTTAAGTAACTTTAGATCCAACGGCACACTCTGTAAGTACCCAGGATCTGACTGCTGGAGTTGAACATGGATGGGGGCGGTATCTCCCTAATGAGAGGAGACTGGGTGTTTCTACTTTGGGGGTAACCATGAGCTCAATTTCTGCTTGAGATTGCCTTAAGAAGCGAAGTGACCCTTTGGTACATAGTAACCTGTACTGTCGGTGGTGGTGGGGAGGTCTCTCATCTGTTCTAACCTGAAAGCCCTGGAAATCCCAAGTAGAAAGAGAAATTCGTTGCATGGGTCTCCGCTCACTCCCAACAAAGGACTCTGGGTCACCTGGTGATCCTTTCATTCTGAGATGATTATTCTCACCTCGGAACTCTAGTAAGCAAAATGAGCTTGGAGGGTAGTGCCTGCTGGATACATAAGAGAGAAAGCCCAGTGTCTAAGAAACCATGCTTAGAAGAGATGGAAGGAAAGGAAATGCTTCTCATCAAAGGAATAATTATTCCTCCCATCTGTTTTGCATGACTTAAGGTGACTCCATCTTCCTGAGGGGTGGTAACTTAGCCAGGTGACTGACAGCCCAGTTGGAGTCCCAGGTCTCCATCCAGGCCAGAGGTAGATTCCATTCTCTTGACCAGAAGAAAATGGCTTTCCCTTAATGGGTCTGGAACACAATGAGGAAAAAGGTTCATGTGGGTCTCAAGCTAGTAAGGCAGAAACTCATATGCCAAATACTAACCCAGGATAGCGACCTAAAAGTCTATGTTCAGAAATACCATACTAACTACTAAGCTGGAAAACTCCTGGATGGGAGGACCTGACAGAGGTCCCAGGGTCTCTCTTAGGACCTCAATAGCAGCACTTGGCTTCCTCTGGTTCTCCGCCAGGCTTTCTGTCTTACATCTCCTCTTTTGTTCACCCACATCTGGTGTTCTTACTGCTCTTAGGCAAAATCTGAGCACATTATTGAGTTCTCTTATTGACCCACAGGATCGACTTCCTGAGGCTGTGCCATCCACCCTTCTTACCAGAATAGACTAGTCCAACCTCTCATTGTCTTACTTACCTGTTTGGTTTTCAAAGTGCACTTAAAAACTACAATCGTCCACCCGTCCCTAATTCTGAAGGATGAATACACATGTGTGCCTATTAAGAGACCCACAGTGGTCAATGACAGGAGGCAAGGCCTTTCAAAGAAGTGCATTGCACACATGACTGCATCTTACACTCTCTCCTGAGTCCTGAAGAACAAGCATCTTTTTCCTGTGCTCAACTATCTTCACATTTCAGCCCACAGTGGTACTCTCTGGTACCCTGAGGTACCTGAACAGGCCTATCCCATAGAGGTAGCTGAACATTAGGCATCCCACAAACAGAAGAGGAAAATAACCACATTGGACTTTTTTCTTTTTTAACTAATGTATTTATTCTTCACTCATAAAAAAGAACATATGCTTGGCTTTGAAATCATGACATAAAATAAAAAGGCAAAAAAAAAGGAGAAGAGTCTAGAGGTTGGTAGAAGCATCTCATGCTAGCCTGTCAGCACACACTGCGTGCTTGGGGCTGGAGCAGGCCCACCAGTGAGAGCGGGAGCTGAAGAAGCATTCCGACCCAGCAGCCAGGCCTCCTCCTCCCATCCGCTCGGGTTCTCAAGGTTGTGTGGTCAGCATGCATGGGAAAGGAGCCCTCCCTCTCTCCTGTCTTCCTCCTTTCTCGACAGCGCAAGCAGCGAGGCTTCGACGCCACTCTTTCTAGTCTGTGGGATAGTGGTGTTGTGTCAACATGCCTAACCTGCATCTTGCCAAACTTTTAAAACGCTCCAATTGCCTAAATCCTCCAGAAGTAGGAGCCATCCCTATTTCTGGTCCGTGATCTGCTGCAGGCAGAGCTTCATGTAGGAATCCTTGCTGCGGATTTCTATGACGGCGTCCCTCACAAGCTCAATGAACATCTGTGGCCACAGCTTCTGCAGAGCCTCGTTTTTCATGTTGATTGCTGTGGCTTCCTTCACGAGGTCTTCTACATACATCTTGCAGAACTTCTTCTTGTCCTTTATTTCCTGTTAAGAAAAATTTACATTAAATCATAACTAAGCCAAAAGCCAAAACAATAATTAATAGAACCAGAGCTTGAAAGAATCAATTCTGCACCCCCTTGCCTCTCCTGTCAAGTTTCTTCAGGCTAGGAATTCTCTCCCAGCAGCTCCTGATAGGGGGTTCTGTTTCAGGAGGCAGCAGATAAGGCCTCACTGCTTTGCAGTCCTCTGCCTCGGTTGAGCACAGTACTTTCCAGAGGTCTAAGTGTTGGGGTGCTGATGCTGACCATTCTTCTAATTAGTCTGGGTTAGCTACTATGCATAATCCTTTATACTCATACTTTGAATTTACTCTCAAGTATAGAGACATACAAACACCACACCGTAGCCCAGGCTCTTGGGACAAAGTTTGAGAAAAGTGCCTAAAGAGGAAGCTCTATCACAAGCCTTGGACCCACACTATGTCATGAAAAGAACAGCATTATCACTCAGCTTCTGCGTCTGGCAGTCTGAAGATGAAAAAGCTGCTTCTAAACACAGCAGGGTGCGTTTGGAGCCAGAAGACATTTGAGCATTCAGCTCCGATTTCATCGGGGTGCTAACAAAATTATTCTATTGGGGCTAGGGTATAACTCAGTGGTAGAGGTTTTTAGTCTAGTATGTTTGTTTGAAGGGCCTGGGTCTGATTCCCAACACACACACACACACACACACACACACACACACACACACACACACACACACACACACACACACAATTTATTTTGTCTGATAGTATTAGAGGGAAAAGTCAGTGCGATACATGTGATGATGAGAATTATACCATAGGTAATGTGCTGATCAAGGTGGGAAAGTTAAATGTTGACAAGAAACTTAAGAAAAAGATCCATTTCAACTTCAGACTCAAACCACAACAATTCTAAGATGAATTAAATTAATAAAAGTGATACCATTGCTGAATGAAATGATTAGTCAGCAATCAGCCAGTGTCTACAGAGGACAGTCCCTGGACAAGGCCATCAGGCTGTCTTGAGGAAGCACAGGAAATAACAGGAGAGCCCAGGCTAGGCCCCCAGGAGGTCGCAACGCTCCAGGTGGTTGTCAGGAACTCACTACATGACCCTGAACAATTCCTGAGCTTCCAGTTTTCCTCGCCTGTCTAAGAGGAGAACTGAATTCTTTAAAGTCCCTTAAATCTCTTTTAGATGAGGCAGGAGAAAGGATGGATGGGCAAGACTCAAGCAACAGGACGTGGAATGAAAGGGACTGTTTAGCCTGATTTGTGAGCAACTCACCTCCATTAATTTTCCCAGCCACTCAGTGCGCACAGGAGAGGGAGGGGCACAGCCCTTTCGCTGCACTGGTGTAAGTACTTTTCAAGATGTGGGGTGCGGGGGGAGCAGAGGAATGCTGGGCTGTGAGTCAGGAGACAGTGATTAAGGGACTTGGGCAAGGTCTCCCAGGTAATAAGTGGTAATCAGGGCTCAAGGCCAAGTCTCTGGCTAGCTCGGTGCTTGTCCCAAAGTGTCACGTGGCTTCAGATTTCTTCCTTTGCCTTTGAGCTTTCTTAGAATAGGAGCCCGCATCTCCTCGGGTTACTTCCTCATTGCATTTTTATTGATCAAGCCACTTGAATCCAGACTTTGTTTGTTTGATTCTGCTGGAGTTCTTTCCATTAAAAATGACCTTGACTGTCAAATTTATAAAAAGTCTCTCTGCCTAGTTGGTCACTTGGAGTGTTCAAAAGTCACACCTACCCAACTAAGGCCATAAGATTTCTTCCTCTTTTTTAAAAATACGAACTTCAGAGTTTTAATTTTTATACTTTGGCTTTTGTTTGATCTGGAGTTAATTTTTTGTTGTCCAGTATGGATGGGTTCAGTATGTTTTCCTCAGCACTATTTATGAATAGACTGCCCCCAGCAGTTTGTAATGGCTGCTGTCTGCCTAAGTCTCCCATGTATGTGCAGTGTGGCTCTGTGCTGTCCACAGTCTGTCTATTCCCGCCTTGCCTTACTGCAGCGTTGTTCTGGTTGGTTCTTGTCAACACGACACAATCCAGAGACATCTGGGAACAAGAACCTCAGTTGCGAAAATGCCTCCATTAGACTGGTCTATAGGCAAGTCTACAGGTCATTCTCTTGATTAATGATTGATGTGGGATGGCCAAGTTCATCGTGGCTGTGTCAGCCCTGGGCAGGTTGTCCTGGTGGCATAAGAAAGCAGACTAAGGAAGCCATTGGAGCAAGTCAGTAAGGAGCCTTCCTCCATAGCCTCTGTTCTGTTCCTGCCTCTGTTTTCCTGCCTTGAGTTCCTGCCCCGACTTCCTGGATGAAGAACTAAAGGCTGTCAGATGAAATGACCCCTTCCCTCCCCTAGCTGCTGTTGGCCAGGGTTTTACCACAGGAATAGAGACTTAACTGGGACACATACCCTTATGACAGTTACCTGACACCTGGCACAGCACCTTTGTATACTCAAGGTTCTAGTTGTATCTGATAACTTTTAGGATTAAATAACCCTGTGCAAACTTGAACTAGAACTGCCTTATATTCATCTTATAACATAGAATGCTTTGTCTATGGATATAAACTTTTCAGTTCTTTTTTAGTGACCTGCAACACAATTTCAATTTCCCCCAATAAAGGGCATGTGTGTTTTGTGCGAATATCGAACCCAAAGGTTGATGTCATGTGTTTTCCTTTAATGCTCTCCACTTTACTTTCTGAGGCAGGGTCTCTCAGTCTGGAGCTTAGTGATTCAGTAAGACCAGCTGGCCAAGAAACTCCAGGAGACTTCCTACCTGTCTCCTCAGAGCTAGGATTACAGACAGGTACACAACGCCATGTCAGGCTTTCTACATTAGTCTGGAGATCCAAGCTCAAGCCTTCACGCTTGTGAGGCAAGTACTTTGCTGACTGAGGTGTGTCCTGATCCCAGCTTATACATATTTTCTTATCCATTCCCATAGTATATCAGTTTATTCTCTACTTTCATAGAAAGTGGTATCCTATCTTATTTCTACACTGGTTGTACGGTATGTAATTCATTCAATGTTTGCCTGTACGCTGCTTGATATTTCTTCACTTTTAATTCTGTGTGTGTGTGTGTGTGTGTGTGCGTGCGCGCGTGCACTTGGGTTTGTACATGTGAGTGCAATGCCCACAGACACCAGAGGAGGGCATCAGATCCTCTGGAGCAGGACCCAAAAGTGGTCGTGCACCAGGAACCAAACTCACTCAGGTCCTCTGCAGGAACAGCATATGATCCTAACTTCTGGGCTTTTATTTTATTTTATTTAAAATACCAGCCCTAACTTGGTATTTTAAAAGGATTTTTGCATTAATATTTCTAAGTATCTGACTTGGCTTTTATTTTCCTAGCAATTTTGGTAGATTTGGAGTCAATGTTGTGCTGTCTACCTTGAAAAAACAAGAGTTTTCCTTTTTAAATATCCCTCAACAAACTAAAAATTAAAAAGCAGAATAACCTGTTTTCTGAGGTCACTGACTTGGCATGTTTCCTTATGAGATTGTCCCTGTTTTCATGTAGCAATTTTATATTTTTCTAACATTTTTTTTCATGAGAATTTGTATATTTAGACTTTCTAAGCATATATGTTAATTATTTGACTCCCAGGACCAACTACCCTTAGGAAGAGGCTTATAATCCTGCCAGCTCAGCTTTCATTTTCCTTGTCTGGCAAAACCAGGAAGTCCTCATTAGCTGACAGTTATGTGCTCAGCCTTTTCCTACCGTCTTCACATTTGATGCTGTTCAATTACAGAAACACTGACTGTGCATGTGTGTGAGTATGAGTGATGCTGGGAATGAACCCACGGCCCGGCGCACTTAGGCAAGTGCTCCACTGGGCTTCCGCGGCCTCCCACACTAGAACATAGGGCAGAATCTGAGCATCTTTCAGGACGCTGCAGAAACTGTGAGATGAGTTGCTGAAGGTTCTCAAGCTGTTATCCACAGACTTCTATAGATTCCGAAGATGCTTTGGATTGACAGCAGGGTGAAGGGAAGGTGGGAAAACAGAAGATCCAATTAAGTTCCAATGAAAGGAACTGCTGACCCCTCCCCAGCCTTCTTCCTCTAGGGCACTAGTACTCTGCTGTTAGGTGCCCTGGCTTCTCAGCCACTTGTTAATACAGTTTAGAGCTGCCAGATAAGCATGTGAAAGACTGCCGCTTTAGTTCTGGTTTATACATACATTTGTCAATCAATCAATCAATCAATCAATCAATCTCTTTATATATTTCTATAACTTGTCTGAAGAGCTACAGAGAATTAAATAGATCTCATGTGGTGCCTCATCCATGTCATCAGATGCTCAGTAAAATGTACCTGCTCTTTCTTGCTCTTTTGTCTTCTGTCACCCCCTAACTCTGTCTGAGCATGGCACTCTCCTGCTATCAAGGCAGGCATTGCCCACTTTATCACCTGAGCCTCTGGCCATGGCAATGCTGCATCCCCTCAGTAAACCCCACATAAGAAGTGCATGATTGCTCAAAGCAGCCATACAGTGCAGTTAGGACACCCAAGGCACAGAATGCAATGCATGAACTAAACCCCATAAGCCGAGCCAGGAGCTCTGGAGTGGAGATTCTGCTGTGCCCTTTGTTGATCGGGCACCAGCTGGAGAAACACCCGTGGAAGCCTCTTTCCTTTTCTCTTAATCTAGGCAGATCAGGGGTGTGAGTCCTATTTTAGTCGGGATTTTTGGCGCAGCTTTCTTTTGAAGATGGTTTTGTTGAGATGGAGACACTGGAGTCAGAGACTCTCTCTCTCAGGCATGCCGCCCTCCTAGGCCCTGCTGGGGTTGTCCAAGCATTGTGTGAAAAAGGACAAAGTGCACAATCCAATCCCACGCTGCGTGGACAACAGGAGGCACTAGGCCCACAGCCCCAGTTACTGTACCTCCAGCTTCTCGTGGTAGAATTCCCGGGTGGTGTAATTCAGGGTAGCGCGGTTCGTGTTTTCTCCCATGAGCCTTTTGCTGTCACTGGTCTCCTCACTGACAATGCCAGGCTTTTTACCTTTGCTTTCCAGTAGATAGCGGTATTGCTTTTTCCTGCAGAAGGCAGTAAAGGGGTTCAGGGTTACTTATCAGAATAAAAAGATTACGTGCAATTTTTGCTGACTTCAGAGGGCGCGCATGCTCTGTTGAATGCCAGATCTGTGGAGTGAAGTAGTTAGTACTCCAATGTTTTCACTAATTAAGGTATTTGATGTACATTATTTGTTTTGTTTGAGACACAGTTTCACCATTGTAGCCCAGGCTAGACTCAAACAACCAATCCTCTTGTCTCAGCTTCCTGAGAATTAGGATTATAGGCTTGTGACAGCGTACTGAGCTCCACCACATCCTTTTGTTCTGTGACTGGCAATCATCAACATTAACAAGCCTCAAACATTTCTACAATGGAAAACAAAACAAAAAAACTCTACCTTAACAGGAAACAATTCAAAAACTGAATCAAAGCAGAAGCCAATTAAAGAGGTGAAGGACCAAGCCTCACCATCTTTACAGCTATAAAACATGTCAGTTTGTTCATATAACCACATACATCGCTGCTCACAGCTCCTTTATTTGCCTGACTTGTGTTCCTAGCTAGAAAAATCAAATTGGGTGGGTGTGGCGTTAACCTCAGCAAAAGTGAAACTGAAAGCGGGGAGAACCCCACAGAGGCCAAGTGATGGCTCCAGGCCCTGTGGGGTACAAAGGGGAACTCCAGTGGAGCCTGGAGCATCCCAGAGCTCTCCCCAAATCCCACCCATCCCACGGGCTGCAGCTCCTCTAACGTGAGGCCCATTTCCAGTTCCACTACTCAGGGTGTTTCTAAGAGAACTTACAATATGACTTTATTGGGAACAAAAGACTGGGAGCAGAAAAGTTTAAAACTTTTTTTCTTTTTCTTGTTTAAAAGTATAGTGATGTATTTTTAGAAATTTGGAGTAGTATAAATTTTGAAAAGTGTAAGGAAATAGTCTACAGCTCATAATTCTATATAAACATCCAGTATTTGCATTCACCATATTTCAAGACAATTATAATTCCTGTGACTGAACAGAAGTCAGTTGTGATGCAGATCACAATTTTCCTCAGTGGTCTGTTTTATGAGATGTTTAGAGAGCACATGTTTCCCACTTGTGCAAAGAAAATAGTGAGTCACTGTAGATCTGTATTTGCTCTTAGGCCTTTTTTAACTGATTTTTTAAAAATTATAAAATCAATGTACACACACATTTTATATCACTTTTTAAACTCTTAAATGTGTGTGTGTGTGTGTGTGTGTGTGTGCGTGTGTGCAGGTGTTGGAGGAGGCAGAAGGGAGCACTGGATGCCCTGGAGCTGGAATCATATGCCATTGTGACTTGCCCCACGTGGGTGCTGGGAACTAAACTCCAATTCTCTGCAAGAACAGTACATACTCTTAACCATTGAGCTGTGTCTCTGGCCTCTTCTATGACTTTTAAAATAAAGAGCTCCATTTTATTTTGAACATTTTTCCATTTAACTTTCTTCTAGATTATTTTGCTGTTCTTTTTCCAATTTTCTGAAAGAAATATGTAAGTCATTAATTTTCACTCTTACTCTCTCTAGTGTGTCCAGTTCAAGGCTAACATGTTTCTATTTAGCACTGTCACTACTGATCACACAAGTCTGTCGATGCAGTGTTTTCACTGTATTTCAGTACAGGAACTTGATTACTCCATTAGGAAATTCCCTTTGACTTGTGGGCTATTCAGAAATCCGTTTCTTTACCTTCAAATACATAGGCATTTTCTAGTTATCCTTTGTAACTGGCTTAAAGCTTCATGGTATTTTGAACAGAAAACACGGTCCACGTGGTTTTAGTTCTTTGCAGTCTGCTGACATTTGCTTTGGATGGTCAACTTTAATAACTGCTCTGCCCTCCTCCTCCTTTTCCCTCTGTCTTCTCTTCCCCCCTTTCCTTTCTCTTTGGCTTTCCTTTCTCCCTCCTTCTCCAATCCTTGGAAACATGTTACTAAAACTGAGGAACCAGGGGCTGGTGAGAAGGCTCAGTGGATAAGAACATGAGCTGCTTCTGCAGAGGACTGGGGTTTGATTCTCAGCACCTACATGGTAGACAAAAACTGTCTGTAACTCCAGTTCAGGGGCTCCAAAACCCTCTTCTGTCCTCTGAGGACACTCACACATGTAGTACACACATACATGTAGGCAGAGCATTCATACACAAAAAATAAAAATACATCTTTCAAAAACAATATTAATATCAAAGAAACCACACACAAATACACCTTTTGAATTGCAGGTATGAAGGGTATTTTTATGCTATAAGATGGCCAGGGGCTGGAACCCTAGATAGTTTTAGGAGGGGTTGGATAACAAAAAGACAGGGCACGCCTGTGTGGCCTGTACTACACTGACCTAGCTCAGCCTGATGCATGTCTCAGTGCATTCTGGTATTTTCTGGTCACTTCCAACAGTTTAAAGTTGAGCAGGCCCACACTGGGGAGTGAATTATGTCTTTACCCATCAACTTCTTTTTGCTACTTAAAAAAAAAATGTTATGTTGTCTTTCTGAGTCCTTCCAATTGCTTTGGCTTTCCTTAGGGATTTTTCTAGGTTGTCAAAGTGAAACCTCTTTCACTACTTCCTAGTCTTTCTCATCTTTGGTAACTACAGTAAAGACATGTACGTCATTTCCTCTCAGTGCCATTTTGGCCATATCCCACAGAGTTCTGGTTGTCAAATGCACTCATAGATTTAGTATTTCAGCTTGAATTTCTTCCTCAATTCAAAAGAGTTGAAATACTTTGAAAGTACATTATGACACACAACACAAAAATGCTGTAACAGGACCCACCACTGTGTGTACTAACCTAAAAATCAGGAAGAAAAGAAAGTACTGTGTGTACTAACCTAAAAATCAGGAAGAAAAGAAAGTACTTTCAAAATACTTTTAAAAAATGAGAGTATTTTTTTTTTTTTTTTTTAGTTTTTCGAGACAGGGTTTCTCTGTGTAGCTTTGCGCCTTTTCCTGGAACTCACTGGCCTCGAACTCACAGAGATCCGCCTGGCTCTGCCTCCTGAGTGCTGGGATTAAAGGCGTGCGCCACCACCGCCCGGCGAGAGTATTTTTAAAAGAACAATACAAACAGAACAAAAACTAAAGAGCACTTAAGCAGTACACACACATATGCAATTTAAAAAATCTATATACTTTGGCATACTATTGGCCCTTTTTCTATTCAACATTTAGGGGTAATTGTTCTTTCACAAAATAGCAAACAAACAAACAAAACCCCAAAACTTAAAAAGTATCCAGAGTATTTCTGAACTATATACCCTGTTTCTCAAAAATTGGAGTCTGCCACACAACTGTTCTTCACTTGGCACTTTCTGTTCTGGAACATCACAACCTGCTCCAGTTCCGATTCTTTGCTGTGACTGACACCATGACCAAAACCAACTTTGAGGATGAAAGGGTTTTTTGGCTTACACACCCAGGTCTCAATCTGAGGGAAGTTTGGACACAAACTCAAGATGGGAACCTGGAAACAGGAACCACGGAAGAACACCACGAAATGGTTTGTTCTCTAGTTCAGCTAGCTTTCTCCTGTGCATGGTGCCACTTAGAGTGGGTGGGCTCTCTCACATCAATCACCCCTCAAGACAGTCTCTCACAGACACGGCCACAGGCCAGTCTGATGCGGCAACTCTTCATTGAGGGTGCTCTTCCCAAGAGACTCTAGGCGCATCAAATCCAAGACAAACAGTAGGACACACCCGCTGTTTCACATAGGGACTGCTCATCATTTTTACAGCCACAAGTGGTTGCTTTGGTTATACTAATGGACATTCACTATTTTGTTACAAGCACAGGCTGTGATGAAAATCCTTGGACATATATTTGTGTTCATGTAATATAATTTCTAGAAAGAAATTCTGCTCTGTGAAAAGGTTAAGTCCAAAGGCATGGCCACCACAAGTATGTTAGGTATCACTGAGTTGCTATGAAAAGAACCACAGCACTGGCCATCACGGACAATAGCACATAGGATCCACTTCACTACACAGCATATCGTCAAGGTTGTGGCTCTTCCCACAGTTAGTTTATTATTTTAAAATTTGCATGGCTATAGCTTTGAATGGGGTCAAATGGGTTCTTTTTATTTTATTTTTTATTTTTTGAGACAGGGTTTCTCTTTGTAGCTTTGCGCCTTTCCTGGATCTTGCTCTGACAAGACCAGGCTGGCCTCGAACTCACAAAGATCCGCCTGCCTCTGCCTCCCAAGTGCTGGGATTAAAGGTGTGTGCCACCACTGCCCGGCTCTTTTTTATTTTTAAAGTTTAAGGTCTCCTATATTTTATATTCTGGCAACTTCATTGTTTGGGTTTTTGTTATTTTCCAACTGCACCAAGATAAGTTTTTTGGCTCTCTTGACTCCTTAGCAACACCGCCTCCTGTGACTCCTGGGTCAGCCATGCCATGCTGACTCTGAACTCCTGTTATTACCACAGAGCTGCACCTCCATGCTCCTAACTCCCTGCATCTCATGATTATCAGCCTGTATAATGCTGATTGGAGACAATAATCTGTATGAGTGTGGTCTTTAAATGCACAGAGGTTTTCTCTGAGTGTAAGGTGTGTTCAGCCTCTACAAACATCCCATGCATGCTTAGATACTTTTTCACTATCTGACTTTGGGCATGAGGTACTGGGAACAAGGTTTGAAATATATTTATTTGATGTATTATTAAAAATTCTTCATATTTTCTTATTTTAATTTATTTGATCTGATTTATGAGGCCCTTCTATTTTCAAGTTATTAAATCATCTAAATACATAAAAGTTATTCAGAAGAGCATAATTTTCATTGATTTCTATTTAAACTATCATTTCTTTTTTTTTTTTTGTTTTTTTTTGTTTTGTTTTTTCGAGACAGGGTTTCTCTGTGTAGCTTTGCGCCTTTCCTGAAACTCACTTGGTAGTCCAGGCTGGCCTCGAACTCACAGAGATCCGCCTGGCTCTGCCTCCCGAGTGCTGGGATTAAAGGCGTGCGCCACCACCGCCCAGCAAACTATCATTTCTTAATTTAATAGCTTATCAGTATTTTTTGTATTTTCCCCCCAACTATTTTTGTGTATTTGTTGGGGGGGATGATGGGCTGTGTGTGTGAGAGAGAGTATGTGAGTGTGTGTGTAGGTCAGAAGTTGACATCTGGATGTCTTCCTCAGTTGCTTCTTCACTTTATTTTGAGACAGGTCCTCTCACCCAGCCTGGAGGTTGTCATTTCAGATGGATTGGTTGGCCAGTGAGCTCCTGACCTGCCTGTTTCTGTCCCTCAGTTCTGTGGTTAGACAAGACTGCCACATCTGGCTCTTACAGGGGTGCTGGGGATCTGAACTTAGGTCCTCACATTTGTTTGGCAAGCACTTTACCCTCAGGATGGTTTTACTTCAGAATAATTCTGTAGGTTGTAGACGGGATTTTCATTGATCAGTCAAATGCACTTGAATGAGATTTTCATTGAATAAGTCAAATGCATGTGAATTCAGAACCAAACAATCCTGTTTATAATTCTTTTTTTAAATAGATCTCTTTCCCCCTATTCTAAACCTAAAAACTCCCTACTCACTCCCAAAGAAACAGATTAAACAGGCAGCCTTTTCCAGTGTTCTCAATACAGCTAGTCTCTACCCATTCTCTTGCTGCATCCAACAGACCGTACTTGAATTGTTTATGTGCCTCTTTATTAGACTGTAACCACAGTAGAACAAGCACTGAGTTTATAGAGGGCCAGCCGTAAGATAAGCCTGGGGTACGTGTCTGCCTGATACATAGGTGCACAGTTAAGAGATATTTCTAGTGCAACAGTAATCTATAAAAAATTCAGGGTTACCTGGCATCACCCAGAATTGAAATCATGCGGTACTGAGGCAACTCAGAAGATGCCACATGGGCTAGGATTCCAAAGAGCCGCTCGGCCATTATCATGTCGTTTTGTGTCACCTGAGAAGAAATGGTAGAAAAGGGTCAAAAATGACATTGCTTCTTAGCTGCTTATAACAAATACAGTTCCAAAGAAATGTCTGGATTTCATGTGTTCTTTTAGCACAGAAAAGGACACTTCCCTGGGCTCTGGAAGAGTCTTCACTGAGATTCCGCTTTTTCCTTTGAGTCTACTTATAATGGAGATGCTCAAACGTGACTCCTGGAAGCTTACTTGGGTTTGACAAGTTAGCTCTGACATGGAAGTCATGTTTCCTGAGGACTGCACTTGAGGTACCTTAAATTCTTACAGGATGTTTTTCTTTTATTTCATGTTTATGTGTGTGTGGTATACATGCATTCATGTACTTGTGTTTGGTGTGTGGGCCACGTGCATGTGGCTGCATGTGTGCACATGTGTGCATGCATCTGTGGAGGCTCAAGGCTGATGTCATAATCTTCCTCAATCATTATTCCACACCACATTTTGAAGCAGTCAAACCCAGAGCTCACTGACACATACACTCTCACTATCCATCTTACTCCAGGATCCCACCTCTGCCTTCGAGACTGGAATTACAGGTGGGCATTTATGTGGATGCTGGGGATCTAAATTCCAACTTCTTGTTTGCTTAGCAAGCATTTTAACAGCTGAGTCATCTCCCTGATTCTTAAAGAATATCTTAAAAAGGAATACTTGAGTTAGGCTGATTCAGAGAGGAATGCCAACGGGAGAGATTCATCTTAACAAGGTGCTGCTCACGGGCTTGCCCTGTTAAGGACAATTTGTCCCTTCCTTGAGACGGAATGCTTAGTAGGCTAGCAAAGATACTCCAGTGCATTCTAATCCATGAAAACCTCTTCCCTATAAAGAATAACAGTTGCCGGGCGGTGGTGGCGCACGCCTTTAATCCCAGCACTCGGGAGGCAGAGCCAGGCGGATCTCTGTGAGTTCGAGGCCAGCCTGGGCTACCAAGTGAGTTCCAGGAGAGGCGCAAAGCTGCACAGAGAGACCCTGTCTCGAAAAATCCAAAAAAAAAAAAAAAAAAAAAAAACAAACCCCCCCCCCAAAAAAAAACCCAGAGACAAAATAGCATTAGAATTTTGCATTCTATCCTTCTAGTACTTTTTCTGCTTTGGTTTTTGAGACAGGGTCTCACTTTGTAGCTCTAGCAGGCATGGAGCTCACTATGTAGACCAGACTGACCTTGAACTCACAGAGATCCACCTGTCTCTGCCTCTTGAGTGCTGGGATTAAAGGTGTGCATCACTACTTCCAGCCCTCTTCCAGTACTTTTTATAGTTATAAATGCTTAATAGATTTTTGAAAAAAAATTCTATTTGAGTTTTAATTCTACTATGACATTAAAGAGATGGAGCTTAAAGAATCAATGTAAAACAGGGTGGCTTGCATTTTCAATACAGTTGGTTGTTCTACACAGTGTAACTTGATTCACCAACCCGGACCCATGTGGTCCCCTCAGGAACATTTGGCAACACCTGGTTAGGGGTGTTACTCACATCTACTGCATAGGGCCAGGGATGCTGTTAAATGTGTTTTTTTTGGTTTCATTTTGTTTGAGACAGGGTTTCTCTGTGTAGCTTTGAAGCCTGTCCTGGAATTCACTCTGTAGACCAGGCTGGCCTCAAACTCACAGAGATCCGCCTGGCTCTGCCCACCAAGTGCTGGGATTAAAGGTGTGCGCCACCACCGCCAGGTGCTGCTAAATGTTTTAAATGCACAAGAGAACTGCCACCATGGTTATCTGCCCCAAGTCAGCAGAGAACTGCCACCTGGTTATCTGCCCCAAGTCAGCAGAGCAGAAGCTGAGAAAGCCTTTATCTTTGTGTAAGCAGTTTTAGATTTTTTTTTAAAAATACAAGGGGCCTCCATCTATTTATTTATTTAGAGAGAGTGTATGTGTGTGGTATAGGTATATGTGTACTTGTGTGTCTGCATGTGTAGATATACTCACCAATGCACGCGCACACACAGGACAGAGATTGATGTCAATGTTTCCCAGGTCACTCTCAATCTGCTGTCTATAAGGCAGGTTTTCATTCGGCCTGGATCTTGCAGTTTCAGGTAGACAGGCTGGCCACTGAGGCCATGGGACCTACCCTTCCCTGTCTTACCCAGCTCTAGGGTTCCAGCTATGTGCCGCCATGCCTCACTCACTTCTGCGTGGGTTTGAGGGATCTACACCTAGGTTCTCAGACCTGCACAGACAGCGCTTTTCAGACTGAGCCATCTCTGCAGTGTCCCAAGCCTTTTGGCACCAGGAGACAAGGCCTCACAGCAAACTTCCTGTCTCGGCCTCTCCAGTATCGGAAGAGCAGGGTTGTGTGTATTTGTGATAATAGATCACAAAAAAATCTTCTGAGGAAAAGCCCACAGTTTGCATATAATTCGTATACATTGTATTTACATCAATCAGTGTACACTGGTTCTTCCCTATCCTGGGCAGTCATGGTTAGGGATGCTGCTGTTGTCTGGTCCAACACGGTCACCTAGTGGCCAGTGCAGGCCACTGCTCCATCTTCTTGATGCTCATGATTCAATCCGACCTCTAGCAATACCACTCTATTACAGAAGGGGAGGTATAATGTAGCATATATGGTATAAAATGGCAAGAATATGGGGGCGGGCATATCTATCCTTCAGGTATTTTAATAACAAAGTATTTGTGGCACTGAAATTTTCTAAAAGTTAAACTAGAACATTGCATTGGCTCTGTTTAACTCCCTGTACAATTACAATGCTCCTTGTTTCAGCAGTCCTGTAGAGATGCACATCCCACAGCTGGGTCATTCACTACTGACAGCTGATTAGCACACCCAGTTAGGCCATCAATGAGGAAGAATCCTTCGTTTGCAGCCCAGAGAACCTGCCTATTGTATTTCCAGTCCAGACTAACTTTGAAAACCCTCCCACTAGTTTGAATGTAGACTCCCAAGATCTAGTTGCGGGACTTTTAGTCATCCGAAGGTTCCAGACTTTCCTGGCACTTTAACAGAAGGCTGACACTATGGCCCTGGGCCTACTATGGTTGAGGTATGGTATGGTTGCTTTTGACACTGACCCCCAGATCTCCATGCTACCAACAATCTGCTGGATTGTTGCAGGTCTAGGCCAGAGGCAGCTGTGGTGTCTGTTGTGAAGCAATATTATGCCAGCAAAGCTAACTACAGCTCATCTTATAACAGGGAAGTCTTCTGACCTTCAAGGGGCCCCACAGTGAGAGTAACAACAATTAAAAGATGGCTTCCCTTCAGAAGATCATTTAGCTTCAGTAGCAACAGAAGCATAGTCCCCCCCCCCAATTAATATCTAAAGAGAAAACAGTCTTTGAGTAGCTGATTAGCCTTGGGACAAACTCAGAAAAATCAATCTAAAAATAGCTTTCCATGAATAATTTTCCAGTTATTCAGCTCAGACCTGAGTTATCCCACATCATGCCACAGCAGCCACAACCAACTATTAACGGAGGAGTACAGATGTGAGCTCAGATTCTCTCCCTCCACTTTAGTCTTTCCTTCTTTATTAGTGGACATTTGGTTTGACTTCCTCATCCTCTCATGTATGCCAGAGTCTGCAGAGCATTTTGAAAAATAAAAAGGTTGCCTTACCTGCAAAAGTCACATGTTTTGCCTTTTTAAAATGTCACTTTCTTTCAAGTTTTACTTCTCTGAATGTTCACAAACACTAGGAAAAGCAGGTACTATTCACCAGGAAAAAACATCTGTCTACTGCTTCAGATCCTTTGCTTGCATGTGTGTGTGTGTAAATTTGTGTGAATTTGTGTGTGTGTTTGTGTGCATATGTGTGTGTACACACGTGTGCATGTGTGCACATGCATTGCTTAGTATGGTTTTTTTTTTAATATTCTGAATGCGGAGAGTTTGTTTTTAGGAAACAGTGTTTCTGCACAGTTCTAGCACAGTCAGGTTTATAAACCTGTGCGGTCGGGGGCTCCGTCAAGTGGAAGCTCACTCTGCAGTCCGCTTTGCTTTTCTTACCTCCGTTCCATTTATTTTCTGCATGCTGAAGTGGCTGAGCCTAAACAGCACATAGTACTTCCAGAGCGTGAAGTTGACCACTGGGTTTCCCTGAGGATCGATTGTCAACTGGTCAACCCGACGAAGCTGTGCTAGTGCGTTGAACTGCTGCAGCATTACAAGGTTGGTCTCCTTGAATTTAAGGTGCTGCAATAAGAAACCACATGCAAGGTCTTCGCTTGGAGTTTAAACACCTTAAAAACTAACATTAACACTTAACAGGCCATTTCCCATGGAACTCTGCAAGCGTCAGGCTTAGTAATACATTTTCAGTCACATTAAGTCAACAAATGCTCTAAGTTCACTGAACTTCAATGTGCCCAATCCATCTGTCATTGATGGCATTGAGCCCAAACTGACTCCTCCTGCAAAGGATATCCTCAACAACCAGGATCCCTCAGTGTTATCTAAATGTCAAACAATCCAGACTCTTTCAGGCTTTACATATTCTACACATTGTGCATAAACATTCATGTATAAAGGAAAGACTGGAACATTCCAGAAATTTCTAAGTACAGGATGCACTCTGGTCCTGAGGACTAGCATTGTCAACACTGTGTCTTTCTGAAAACTGTGCTGGTCACTTAAATTGGTGAAGCAGAAGCAAACCGCTGAACAGAAACACTGAGGCAAATGGTCGATTTGTGAACTTGAATATTCTCTCCAAACACCTGCCTCTGCTGCTACCCATCTTCTTTAGGGATGATGAAGAAGAAAAACACGTATACCATAAAAGGATGCCTAGAGAAACACAATGTGGAAAAGCTCAAGAGGAAGCTCACTGTATGACTGTTTCCTTATGCCTGTCAGTAACCAGTGCAATACCATGACCGGGCAAGCTGCCTTGAGTCAGCAGCCTCAAGTTTCTTCCATGCTGTCAGAGGACTATTGACAGATCACATACTGAACATACATGCCCTGTCCATACCAGTTTCAGATCATGTAATGAACATACATGCCCTGTCCATACCAGTTTCAGATCATGTAATGAACATACATGCCCTGTCCATACCAGTTTCAGATCATGTAATGAACATACATGCCCTGTCCATATTAGTTTCAGATCATGTAATGAACATACATGCCCTGTCCATACCAGTATCAGATCATGTAATGAACATACATGCCCTTGTCCATATTAGTTTCAGATCATGTAATGAACATACATGCCCCATCCATACAGTTTCAATGCCTGAATACATGCTATAGGGCTGGGTGACCTTCTTTGTAAAACTGAAATAGATAATGTGCATACAATTCCATTGGTCTTTTCTACTGCATAAAGGATTGTTTTTAGCGATATAATTCCTAATATTAACACAAACCTGCAAGGCCATTTATGGAACTAATTTAAATTCCAGTGCCAGAAACCCAGCACAAAAGCAACTACAGAAACTGAAGCTGAAACAGGCTTTGGCCTGAACACACCAGTCATAATGAGGAACAACTCACACACACTTCCAACGGAAAGTGCTTACCAGAGAGTTTGGAAACTTCATCTTCAGTTTGGGAAGCACCTGGACGATTTCATCAAATTCGATGAATGTGAAGGAGACGGTGGTGACCATGCCGGCAGTTTGGATACTCCAGTTCCGGTCCAGGCACTCCAGTGCCCCTGAGCCATACAGTGAGAGGGTGTCTCCTTCTATCTCCACCAAGTGTGTTTCTGTGGTCGACAAACCTTGTAACGCACTGCTGAGCCCTGGGTCTAGAGACCTGCAAAAGTCTTTTTTTAAGTAAAGTCTTGAGCATGCAAAGGAAATAATAGGCTAGAACAGCATGCTGGAAAGCACTTTACAGTTTATATTCATTAACTCCATTTCTATAATTAAACCCAGAGCATCCTAGATTAATTTTTATTAGCTTTTTTAAAATTAGCTTATAAAGTAATGACTTGTTACGGCATTTTCCTATTCACTGTTGTTGATCCCCCTCCCCCACCTCATCTGTCTCCTGCTGGTCCCCCTCCTCCCCACACAGCCTCCCTCATGCTTTCATGGTCATGTATCCTTAGACTAATTTACCAGATTATCTGAAAGATTAACATTAATATCCAATCTTGTATTTTAGCTGAAAGTAGAAAAATTATTAATAAAAACCCACCTCCAAGTCCAAATTACTCATCATATTAACAAAAAGTAATAATTTTATATACCTTAAATACATCATTGAAATCTTTTTATATCAATATAAATATACTTTCCCAATTTACAAATTTATCTAGCTAAATACATTTTACAATATATTTCCATAAGACATTATAAAATATTATTTATAAAATACAATAAAAATGTTTGCAATATATTACATTAAACTATCTATTTTCTGTCTTAGTTACTGAGTTAAGTGAGCAATGCTAACTCTGTTTTTGAATGGTCTGATAACAGAAAAAACTATAAATGTATAGTTCAGTTGTAATCAATAAAAATCAATCAAGTCTTCCTCCCTGAATTGAAACAAGAGTGAAAAAAACAAATTATGCTACACATACAAATCATATTAGATACTCTACTGATAGGATCATTTCTATTATTCCCAAAGCAGGAGCCATGCTGCCTATGAAAGCCAACCTGAATGGCAAGCAGAGAATAAATAAAGCTCCTTGATCCAATTTAAATTTTTGGCTCTGTAAATAGAACTGTAATGTTATGGGTCTGTCCAGCTCAACACTTGACGTTTGCTCCGTGTTTTCACTTGGGATTTTATTCTCTGCCCTTGTCGGTTTCCTGCATGGCAAGCTTGTGGACTCATCCTGTGCTTCAGATCTCAGACCAACTATAATTATATGCTGGCAATTTTGTCTCCTCCTCCACATAGTGAGTTCATGAAACTGAAGAGCATGTCTTCACATCTGGAGACTCTCAGGTCCACTAATGGGCTTTTCGCAACATATTAATTGATTATGAAGAAGCTGAAGAGCAAATGTCTTCACATCTGGAGACTCTCAGGTCCACTAATGGGCTTTTCACAACATATTAATTGATTATGAAGGATCTTTAATGGTTTTAAATTCTGGTGTTGGACAGTAAGCCTGACAAATGGTTATCCCATTGGTTTATTAGATTTATTAGATTTGTGAACTGCTACACATCTGTCTATTTGTTAACAATTTAGCTAATGATATTTGTGTACTTAAAGTGAATATGCAACTAAGAAAATACACACAATTATTTCGTATGCAATCCTTAATTTTTTTTTTTTTGGTTTTTCGAGACAGGGTTTCTCTGTGTAGCTTTGCGCCTTTCCTGGATCTTGCTCTGTAGACCAGGCTGGCCTCGAACTCACAGGGATCTGCCTGGCTCTGCCTCCCGAGTGCTGGGATTAAAGGCGTGCGCCACCACCGCCCGGCGCAATCCTTAACTTTTATCAAAGGATTAAGAGGGGCAATATTCAAACACCCCATGAGTAGTGGTGTAGACTAGCCTTAGGTGGTCTTCGAAAGGAAAAACTGCTAACAGCACAGAATTAAAAAAGAATTGTTTCCATCTATTGTGCTTTGGACAACATACTGAGGCAGGCAGAGCAGTAGGATTCCTGCTCAGACAGGGCAGGAGACAGCACTTAGCATTTGCTGCACTAAAAGGACGAAGTATTGATGGCTCACACACTCAGTCCCAGTACTGACAGCAGTGCACTGCAACACTGCTCACTGCAACACTGCACACTGCTCACTGCACACTGCTCACTGCACACTGCTCACCTCAACACTGCTCACTGCACACTGCTCACCGCAACACTGCACACTGCTCACTGCTCACCACAACACTGCACACTGCTCACTGCAACACTGCTCACTGCACACTGCTCACCACAACACTGCACACTGCTCACTGCTCACCGCAACACTGCACACTGCTCACTGCAACACTGCTCACCAGACAGAGTGCCTTTTGAGTGTCAGTCCTGCTGCATGTATTACAGTAGAACCAACATCTAGCAATGCCCAGCTCAAAAAATATTTCTTGAATTAATAACCAAGAGGACGTTCAGGGGTATCTGTTCAATTTTTAAGGATGCTATGGTATGAGCAAACAGGCAGAATGGATGATATGGACGCATAGTGAGTTAACAAGGCTAGGTGAGACAGAGACATGTAGTAAAAGGTGTGGGGGTGCCTCATGGCCACAGCAACCAGAAAAGTTTAGTTTAAATGTCAGTATAGTGGATAATTAGCTAGATACTAAAGTGATGGATGAGCAAACCCATTGGGAAGTGATCTTGTCCCATATCAGATATTTAATAGCAGCTTACTCTTCTTCTGCTATGTGATTAAAAGATGAGGAATATAGTAGAGCGGTGGTGGCATACTCCTTTAACCCCAGCACTCAGGAGGCAAAGGCAGGTGAATCTCTCTGAGTTTGAGGTTAACCTAGTCTACAGAGTGAGTTCTAGGATAGCCAAGGCTACACAGAGAAACCCTGTCTCAAAAAACAAAAAAATAGGAACATAAACTCTAGAGTAAAAAGTCTATTATCATGAGGAAATTATTCTGTGTACACTTTTGGCAAGCACGCTGTTGGGAAAAGAAGTAAAAAAGTAAATAAGCCTAGAGTTAGGACGCTGTAACACAATCAGAAAGCTAAGCCAAAGGGAGTTCCAGCTGCTTCAGCCCTCATGAGACACTTGGCTGCTGAGCTGGAGACAGCCTTGGCCTTCCCCGGAAGAAGCAGAGCAGCTGCCACCCAGGTCATGGAAAGCTAAGACAGTTCATGATGAGCTACTGGGGTTAGCCTTACACTGAGGCCACTACTTACTAATTTGCTTCCCTAACAAGGCCTGCTCAGTTTCCATACAAATGACTTTGAAAGCTCACTGAACCATGTTTGTATGATGGAGCATATCCCTGCAGCTTTCCTTGGATAGACGACAGCTATGTCCACATCTCTGTTTAGTTAGAGCTATGCACACAGTCGTTCATTTGTTAACTCATCAAACATCACCTGAAAGCCTGCTGTGGACAGAGTTCTGTGCTAAGTCTTCTGGCACAGGTGACTAAGTCATCTGCAGTGATACGGGCAGTGAGCAGAGAAAGCATGCTTTTTTTTTTTTTTTTTTTTTTTTTTTTTTTTGCTATATCAAGACTATTGCTTGTAAAGCCAAATTAGGGAGTTATAGTTCCCCAAATATGGCAGTTGTAATCCAATCAAGCAAGCCATATAATTTCTAAACCAAAATGACCTCACTATGTCATTGAACTAATCAGTAGGTTTTGCAGAGGTACTTTGTGTGAGGTACTGTGATAGGCACTGGAGATATAAAAAGAAATCAAGATAAACCTGCCCTCCAAGATTTTCCACTCTAGGTAGAGGATGGAGAAGAAGGTAAACACACATTAAATATAATGTGCTTGTTGTCACAGAATGAGTATTTCAACCTCACTCTATGGAAACAGAAAAAAGAGTGACAAGTTCTTTTAGGGGGAGAAGCTGGGTCTCAAAAGGAAGTAGCCTTTGAACTGACCCTTGAGTCGTGGGCACAGTGCTTTACCAGGGGAAGAGAAAGGGCAGAGGAACAGGGGGAGGACAGAAGCCTGACTATGTGTAACAGTGGAGACAGCTCAGTTTCAATGTGACACAGGACTATAACACTGACACTGTAAGACAGGAGAGCAGTACAGAAGTGAAGCTGAAAAGTCAGACGCTATCCCACAGGGATGAAGACCAGCGGGAGGCTTTCAGCGAAAAGGGAGAGACCATATCCAGTGAGCCTGGGATTTAGCTCAGAAGTAGCACACCGTCATGTCTGAGGCCCTGAGATCAACCTTCAGCAATGTGCACACATACAAGGAAGGAAGGAAAGAAGGAAGGAAGGAAGGAAGGGAGGGAGGGAGGGAGGGAGGGAGGCAGGTCAGGCAGCCACAGTTGGAGCCTTTGTAAAGTAACTCCAAAGAGCCACATACGGTGTAAGTACTTGTGCTGGGATATGTGGATGAAGAGCATGCATCCTCTGCCTTCAGGAACCCACTTCAGACCTATTAGTACATCTATTGGTGAAGGATTTGGGAGGAAGAGGCTGGATGCAGGGGGATTAATAAGACTGGTGCAAAGTCAACCAGCCCACAAGAGGGCATAACAGAAAGATATGGTAAACTACAGGGGAGGTGGCATTGCCAAGAAAATCAGAAGGTTCTGGATTTCTGAGTTTGAGGTTCCTTGTTTATAAATGGCAATTCCATAACACTGTGTTTTCAGAGGTGCTGTGAAAACTAGAAATAATAAAGGCATAAAGTCATGCCTTGTACTTAGTTCAATACATTTAGGGATCATTATCAATGAAGGACACCACATTACCAGGTATTTAGGAGAAGATAAAAGGGGGACTTAATGGTTAACTGGCCATAGACAATGAGGAGAGAAGAAAGAACTGGGTACAACTTCAACTTTTAGGGAGTGGCTGGGCCCCGCCAGCTCCCTACCCCCACTCAGCCTGAATCTACAGCATGAAAAAGGCAGTGGTCTTCCGTGGAGGCTCTGTGGTTTTCAAACTTGATTGTGCATAAAGCTAAATATCTTACTACTTATATTCACCAACTCAAAGATTAGTAAGTGATGGCAGGCAGCAGGATCTCCAGTGGGGGTTATCTTCAAGCTCTTTAGTGGTCAATTTCAAGTCCAGATACTGTCTATCCAACCAGCTCTCTCTAAGAGAACCAGGAAATGCCCTATGTCTTCTCAGTTACTGGAGGAACCTAAGGAAAGGCAGGGGGTTGGCTTGATGCAGTAAAGTGTCAAATTCTTAAGAGCCAGGCTAACTGCAATCTGCACCCAATGTACACGCTGACAAAAAGGACACTCTTCCAGGGGCCTACACCTTTCTTTTTTTTTTTTTTTCTTTTTTTCCTTTAGGCTTCTTATAACAGGCAAGAACAGGAATATTTCAAGTCTTTCAGATGATTTTTCCCCACCAAGTAAGTGGTGCTGATTCCTACAATAACTCATTTTATGAATTTTCTATTACAACATTCGTGTGTGTGGAAATTCATTTTATGCATTATATTTTATTATAGTAGTGTTGGCTAAAAGGCCAGTGTTCATAGACAGGAAATGACCAAAAATAAGCCAGCTTCACTACATGCATCCAATGTAAGCAAAGGAAACATTACACCTAGTATTTTGCCATTTCTGCTGGGCAAAGACCTTTGCAGTGTGTCATTTACTGCTGAGCTGTCCCAAGTTCAAGGAACAGTAAAATCATTAATGGGATATACCAAGTGTTAAAGAATTTCTTTCCTTTATATGCCATGTTTTCATGGACACTTGTTCTAGGCATTTATTTATATACCCAGGAGTCAGAGGTCATGGACACTGTAACACAATAATGACCTATTTTTTCAGCATTATGAAATACTAAGGACTATCAATGATAGTTTAAAGTAGAAAACCACCTGTAGTATTTAAACACAAGTTGAACCACTAAAGAAAAGACTTAGTGGCTCTCTACATTAGCCTTACACCTTTAGGAAGAATGGCTTACATCACTGTTCAAAGGCAAGCGTTATTTTATTTTAAAGATTTATAAAGAATGTCGGAATACAATCTCTAACATTTAAAATGCTTTACTCTATACTCTCAAGCAAAACAGTAGAGAGGAATGAGCATACATGTCTAATCCCTTCCTTCAAGGTGCCATTCAGGAACGTCAAGGGACTGAGAAGGTCTAAAGTCACAGGAACTCCAGATGGAGGGACTGTTGGCAGCAGGGAGCTCAGCAAGCTTAGGAGGCTGGAGAGTGGAGGCTGTCCCGTGCTGAAGAAGGACAAACTGCAGCCTTGGCTATGCAATGGGAACACGGATAAAGACGGCAGCCACTCAGCTGAGAGGGCCCTTCAAAGGACAGACAGGATAGGAGTGAGAAGGGAAGACACAGAGAGTAAATGAAGTTCTGAAGGACTAGACTTGGGGACCAAGCTTGGAGGCAGAGCTCTCACCGAGAACAGTGATGCCTTGGGTTAATCCCTAGCATTGAGTGAGGAAGAAAGAAACTCCCACCTACTCCCATTGCTAAGAAAACATTCAGCTAGATCCCAGTGGGGAAAGGAAAGAGTACTCTGAATGTAACACCAGAGTAGTGGTTGTTCCTATAGACGGAAATGAAAAGTCAGCCCTTGCCTCAAACATGCAAGTCAATATGAGGTGTAGCCAAGATGATGAAGACCACCATTTAAACTTTTATGAAACAAAATGGGGACAATATTTTTAGAATTTCTTTCTTATGCAATATCTAAATGGGCAATCCATAAAGGAAAAGCTATGCGTGTTGGTATTCTCATCTATAAATGGGCAATCCATAAAGGAAAAGCTATGCATGTTGGTATTCTCATCTATAACTTGCATTTAAAGTCACTGACATCACAAGCTTCCCAAGCTAGACAGTAGAGAATGAGAAGAAAATCTCAGAGTAAGAGCTGAGGGATTCTACCACTTACGAGGCTGAAAGGATAGAAAGAAATAAGAGAAATAGAAGAGGATATGAGATCAAAATATAATACCAGGAAAAAGTCACAGTCTACAGTGACATGGTAAAACAAGGCAGTAGGAAGGCAGCGACAAGACTGGACTAGGCCTGGAGACAGTGGACTTCAGCAAGGGTGGCTCTTCTCAAGAGACATGAGAGAAACTTGACTATAGTACAGGGACACTCCTTTCAGCTTTAAAAATAGCGTGCACTATGAAATGCCAGATTAAAAAGAATCTGTGTAGGAACAGAATGGCTCAGATATGGAGCAAACCACAGTGTGGTAAGGTTTGGACAGTTCTGATAGGTGATGAAAAGAGGGTGTCTGAATTTGATGCTGGGGTTCTTCTCTCTGAGTGACATGGAGGGCAGAAGAGCATCATAGTACATAGCTTAGTTCTGAAGTCAAAAAATACATATCCCATAGAAACCTCAGCTCTACTAAACAGTTGTGAAGGTTTAAATGCTATCAGCTGACCAAGTTTTATGCTTGCAGAGCAGATGTAAATGTTATTGATCCTGTAATGTAACAGCACATATCACAGACTCTACTAGAGTCCTAAAGAGGGAGGAAACAGAATAGGAGTCAGATTATGGACTCACTCTAATACAAAATCATGCACCCCAGAAAAGCAGTCAGATCAACAGACTCTGAATTCTAACATCTAAAAATGACGATAACCAGAGGAATACTCAATGAGGAACAGCTAATGTGGTGAATTTCAGTGGGACGGTCTGGCACCTTCACTTCCTGTGATCCTCACTCACCAACTTGCAGCTTATCCTGAAGGTGACAGTCACAGTCCTGAGGCAGGCTCAGGCAACCAAGCATGCAGTACAGACCAGAGTCCCCAAAGCTGTGCCTGTGTTTTCCTGTGTCTGGACCTGACTCCTCCAAGGTCTGCCCTTGCTGAGCTTACCCTAAAGCATTGCTGGGGCTAAGGCAGCTTCTGGGTAGCATTTGTTCAAAGCATTTTCAGTGCTGAGGACTGGACCTGGCCTGGTGCATGCTGGGCAAGCGCTTTCCCACTGAGCCACATTCAACCTCTGGTCACTTACTGTTTCTTTAATTTTGAAACAAAGGCTCACTAAGTTGCCCAAGCTAGACTTGAACTTACTCTGTAGCTCAGACTGGCTTTGAACTTGTGATCCTCTGGCATCAGTTTCCCAAATAGTTGGGACTTTGGCACCAGGCCTGGCTGTCAGAAGCATTTAAAGGTGCATGTAGAAGCTGCCACACAGGGCACAGGGTAACACATGCAGCTAGCAGCAGACTTAGCAAACTCCTAAAACAGGAAAGGCTGGGAAAGGAGGTGCATGGGAGGAGGGGAGCTTTCAGCTCTCTTGAGCCAGGGTATCTAGAAGGCCATGTGCACAAACAGAGGTCCTCACAGTCTGCATGTAGTCATCTGAACTTTTCCCCTTCAAAAAATAGCAAACCACTGTGGGCTTTTCCATTAGAGAAATGTTAGTTAGATTTATATTTTCAATTTTTCCCTCTTCTTAATTTCAGCTTTGAATTTCTTAAGAAAATTATTCCTCAAGAATAATTCTGTTAAATGGGTTCCCATCTCTATTCAAAATTCAACTCTAGAAATGCCAGTAGCATGAGAGAAACATTGCGTACCCTGTTTCCTCTGGAAATTCTGAGATGGAGCCTCCATCGATCTGACAGGGTTCCTGAGGAGGAGATTGAGAGTCCTTTCTGTCCTGAGTGAGGGCAAGATTGGCCACACGTTGCTGCAAGTCCCACTTTCGAGCAACATTGTTAATTGTTAGCCTTTTCTTCTCCTACAGGAAGGTAATAGAACAACAGTTAGATGACACATACTTGTGAAGAGAGAAACATTGGCTTCCGGTCCTTTCCTTCTGGTACTTTCTGAGAGAATTCCTTGAAGGTAAACAACCAGCACACCTTCGAAAACAAGCCCATGAGCCTGTGTTCACCCCATGCGCAAATCTCTTAATAATGATGTCAGCCTACATGGAAAAGTATCTATTAGATGAATACTTCTTGTTCTGAACAGTGAGTTATATACTTATTTCACTAATTGGAACTCTGACTTGGCAAAGTTATATGCCTCTGTCCTTGAACAAAGCAAGAAAAAACTACTAATGTTTTCATCTTTTACCCAATAATTAGGGAGGTGGAAGAAGGGTAGGGATTGATTAGTAGTTCATATTTCATGGTATAACATGGTTTTAAAAATACTTATTTTTATTTATGTGTATGTATGTACAGGTGCCTGTGGAGGACAGAAGAGATCATCAGATCCCCCAGAACTGGAGTTACAAATGACTGTGAACCAACAGACATGAATGCTGGAGGCCAAACTCATGTTCTCTGCAAGAGCAGCAAGTGCTCTTAGATGCTGAGCCATCTCTCCACCCTCCATGGTACAGATCATGACATTTAAGGCTGAAAAAAATATTATATAGGCTACTAGAAGAAGTTCTGTTGGATAAATTTTTTTTTCTGGATAACCACTATCATTTCAGAAGAATAGGGAAGCAGAGTTAATTAAAGCAATGGATGCCTTAGGCAGTGGTTCTGAAGTTGAGGGTGCCTCAACTAACATGGAGGGCTTCTGAACCTGGGTCATCTCTCACCATGTACTTGGACGCTCAGGAGTCTGCTCCTCTGACAAGCTCCAGCACTGCTCATGCATTGAGAACCACTGACTTGGAGCCTTGACACTCAACTGTCTCATAGAAACCCTTCTGAAATAAGGAAATGCAAGCCTGAAGAAGCCATGCTCTATTCTACGCAGATCTAGCTTACAGCGATGGGGTAAAGGATTGGCACTATCACCATTTTCAAAGGTAATACTTCATTTGCTTTTATTTTATTTAAAAAAATATTTGTTTTATATGTATGGATGTTTTGCCTGAATGTATGTCTGTGTACCACATAGTTTCAGTGTTCACAGATGCCAGAAGAGTGTGTCAGATCCCCCGAAAGTGGAGTTACAGACAGTTGTGAGCTGTCTTGTGGGTGATGGGAATTGAACCAGTGTCCTATGCAACAGCAGCCAGTGCTCTCAACTGATAGCCATCTGTGCATCCCTTATTTTTATTACATTTTATAGTGTGTGTGTGTGAGAGAGAGTAAATGTGTGCTTGTATGTGCCATGATGCGCAAGTATGGAGGTCAGAGGACAACTTGCAAGAGTCAGTTCTCACAGTCTACCACTTGAGTTCTTGGGACTGAAGGGGTCATTGGAATTGGTGGCCCAAACTCTTACTTGCTGAGCCATCCTGCTGGCCTCAAAAGTTAACATTTTAAAATTACATCTCAATTAGATCAGAATGCTAAAAATAGCTTCTTTCTTTTCCTCTTTCATTCAAAATTTGCCAATGAAAAGCATCCACTGAGCAAGCTACTAACCCTCTCCAGGAAGTCTGCTCTGGAGCCAGGGCAGGGGGTAGGGGACAAATGAAAACAAGCCTTTCTGGTTGCACCTCGGCCTCTATTTGTTTACCTAAGAGTTTAGCAAGTGTGTGTGGTACTGGATAGGAACTGCCCGTGATGGCTTGCTTAATGGAACTAGCCTTTTCAAAGTTCTCTTTCTACATTTAGAAATGTTTTTGGCCCAAGTTCTTTGTTTCTGCAGTTTGTTATTTCAAATGTCTATATAGTTTAGAGCAAATACTGTGTTACTTCTGAGATGACTGACACTTAGTGCATAATGTTCTTGCACACAGGAACTGAAATCCTACTCTTCTACTATAAAACACCATTACCCTAATCTAGAATAAAAAAACCAACTTACCTTATGGTATTCTATTTCAGTTTGCTAACGGCTATGCCAACCTAACTCTCTAATCTAAACAATGCTGTCATTTCTACCTAGTGGCCAGACCCCTGGCTCCATGTGTTTGGTTTCCTAGCTGGTAGAAAAAAGGATCATAATGAGATAGATATAGCAGTGTTTAGAAAAAGTCATAAAATATCTTCCCACCACTGGGTATATTAACAAATGCGTAACAAGATGTCCTCTGAAAATGCAAACACTTCCTTACGCCCACACCAAAGCAGAGCTTCCTTTCTTTAGGTTATTAAAAGCAGCTTGTTACCAGGTTGACTAGATGAGTAGGTGATTTTTGTTGGGGTCTGGATAAGGAAAAAGGTACATTAAGTCAGGATTCTATCCTGAGGTTAGGTAGGCATCCCTGGTTGGGCAGGGAGCCATAGGAGGTCTCTAGATGTCTATGGAGCAAGCAAGAAAGGCACAAAGGGGCTGGATTATGCCTCTGCAAGACCCAAAGGATACCCAAGAGTGCTCTGTTCCCAGAGGCCACAGAGGCACAGAGGCCTCTGTATTTATGCCCATCATCACTTAGGTGGCTGCAGGGTGCCAAGTACATGTGGAAGGGGCAAATATCTGCGGAGTGAAGGGCAGCTCCCGCCATCCGAGTCTATTCTTCACTGACCAGACGGGACCTCATCAGTGTATGTCACAACTCTCACTTCCCTCCATCTCCAAGGTGGCACATGGAACAGGAAGATAAGAGAACCCAGCTGCAGACGCAGGCTTTGCACGTCTCGGCTCCTTCCCACCCCACTTCCACTGCCTCCATGAGGAGTCTGTGCAGCTGTGGGAAGCAGCCTCGGGAATGCTGACGCTGTTCTGACGTGGCTTCAGTTCTCAGCAAGGGCCAGGTCTGAGCCTACTGCTGCCAACATTTCTCTTATTAAAAACAAAAGGCTAAACAATCTTCATAAGCAACCAGACAGAGCTCCACCACTTCAAACAAAATGCTGTTTTCTAAAGTCACTAAAGCTTTCCAAACAGTCCTTTAAATGTTCACTAAATTCATGGCCTATTTCCCTGAATGTTGGTGGCACGAAGAAGCTGAGTGGGGGATGGGGTAGTAATACTGAGATAAGATTTCAGTTGGACATGAAAAGCAAGTTGATTCTGTGCCTGCCCCAGGCTCTCCTTACACTGGCAAGCTGGCAGGCTTCGGGCTAAATCATCAGCAGAACTTCCATGTTCATTCTTCCTTGCCAGGCTCTGGGCCTATCACACAAGAGGGTTCCACAGGCCCGGACTTTACTCCATGAACGTACATACATGTCTTGGATCATTCACTGACTCACTCATTCACATAGGCACTGAACAGCAGCAATGGTGTGACAGGGAAAGTCACTTCCCCAGCACGGCCACTTTGGAAAGGTTTGCCTCAGTGAGACCTGTCAATGGCAAATCTTGCTCCTATAAATTTTTTAAAATACGACTGCAGTTATATTTTTTATAAATAAAACATTAAAATGTAATTTTGATAAACTCTTGGGGGCAATCCAACATAAGCAAATTAAAATCCTGTTGTTAGGTAATGAGTACAGAGGAATCTGTGTCAGCAGAGGGCTTAGGCACACTGATGAATGGGATAAGGGATAGCCAAAAAGAGCTGGGGGCGAGTCTGGAGGTCAGAGGTAAGGAGTCTGGAGGTCAGAGGTGACGAGTCTGGAGGTCAGAGGTGACGAGTCTGGAGGTCAGAGGTGACGAGTCTGGAGGTCAGAGGTAACAGCAGAGGAGAGAGCGACCTACAGCTAGCACATGAACTCTAGTCACTTTCAGATCTGTAGTCTTGACAGGCAAGGTGCTGGAGACAGGTTCTGATGCTAATTTAGGAATCATTATCCTACTGCACAACAGTTCCAACGAAAGCATGTCCTTGGGCAGCCCGGACCCCTGCCAGGCCACAGAACACAGCCGCCACTTTGGGGAACTAAGGACACATCATACACATAACTGTGTCCCTCTGGTCACTTTGAATTTTGCATGTCACTTCGAAGAGAAAAGGAGGACTGCTCAAGATGGCAGGCTTCCTTAGAAGCCAGTGTGACACAGCTAGAAGCCAGACATTCTAAACTGTCTTGATCAAGCTCTGTGATGATGACACGAAATATTTTAAAAGCATCACTACTCAAGGAAGTTTATATCAGTTATGCTTGACACTTAGAACTACTTTAAAATGAATTTTCATTTCTGAATTCCTCAAGATTTTCACCATTTCTGTATCAAAGGTGTTAATGGAGAAATGTTTTTGGTTTTAAAAGCTGTCCTTAAGAACCCAGAGCAAAGCTCATAAAAACATGTCAGTAAAGATGACTCAATCACAGAGCTATCCAAAGTGACATGCTAATCCCAGGCAACACAGGCATGAGACATGCCCTAATTCTCTTTGTCTTGCTGTTGTACCTATTTTACAATGCCTGTCTTGCCCATCTTGTCTACACAGCACCACTGTACTTCCTAAGTTCAGGTCTATTTACCTAGTAACCCATCAAAGTTCTTAGCAGGGCTTATTTAGTTCTGAAAGCCATGTCCTTGTGGGTGCTCCTGTGCACAGTGGAGGCAGACATGGACGGCATACCTTCAGCAAAGACTGCTTATGACTTTCCCTCTTCTTCTCCTCCTCTTTTTTGGCTACAACAGATGCCACGCGTCTTTCTTCTTCCTAGAAAAAGAAATGTTTTTAGAGACGGCATCCTGAGGTGTCAGCCATATTGAATGAGGTGTGTGCTAACAGAGACACAGTCCTGGAGGAAGGGCTGCGTTTTCTCTACGCTTCCTTCTCACCTCCTAATTCTAAGAAGTGTGTACTCCTAAGTCCACATCTGACTCTGTGGGTGAGCTAAAGCTAGTGGATTAATACAAGAAAGAAAACAAGATCGTCTGACTTTTCATTATAAAAATTTTCCCTATAATTTTGTCAATTCTACTTCAATAAAGATGGAAAAAAATTAACTTATGAAATGAATTCAGGACACATCAAAGATCATTCACCATGATCAAGTTGGCTTTATTCCAGAGATTCAGGGAGAGCTCAATATATAAAAGTCAATAAATACTATATATTGCATAAATGGAGTGAAGGACAAAAATCACATGTTCACTCAACTTGATAGTTGCAGAAAAGGCTTTTGAAAAAAATCTTACATCCCTTCATGATAAAAGTCTTGAAGAAACTCAGAATAGAAGGACTGTATCTCAACATGATAAAGACTATAAACATGGGCTGGAGAGATAACTCAGCAGTTAAGAGCATTGACTGTTCTTCCAGAGGACCAGGGTTCAATTCCCAGCACCCACATGGCAGCTAACAATTGTCTGTAACTCCAATTCCAGGGGATCCAACACCCACACACAGATATAAATGCAGGCAAAACCCCAATGCACATGAAATAAAAATAAATAAATGTAAAAAAGAATATAAACAACAAGCCTATAGTCAATATTATAGTTAGTGGAGAATAGCCTAAAAGCATTCCCACTAAAATGAGGAACAAGACATAGGTGTACACTTTCTCCAGCCTCAGTCAATATAGACTGGAAGTCTAAGCTCGAGCGGTAAGACACGAGAAGCAAATAACAAGGACGCCGACAGGAAAGGGAGACGTCAGAGCATCTCTGTTTGCCGACGATACGATTCCATACTTAGGAGATCCTAACAAGTCCACCAGGAAACTCCTAGAACTGATGAATAAATACCTTTAGCAAAATGACAGGCTGAAAAAAATTAACACAAAACCAACAGCCTTTCTATCTACCAATGACAAATACAGTGAGAAAGAAACCAGGGAAACATTTACACTAGCCTTAGAAAATATACACTGGAATAAACCTAGCTAAGGATATGAATGACCTCTATACTGACAACTAAAAAACATCAAAGAAAGAAATCGAGGAATATACTAAGAGATGGAAAGACCCCCACCCCACCCCCATGCTCATGGATCAAAATTAGTATTATGAAAATGGTCATTCTACCAAAATGAATCTACAGATTTAATGCAATTCCAATCAAAATTCTGGGACCATTCTTCACAGAAATGGAAAAATAATCTTAAAATTCAATAGATAAGCAAAAAAGACTGAATATTAGCCCAAACCATGTCTGAACAAAAAGAATATTGCAGGAGGGATCACCACACCTGACTCTAAGTCATACCAGAGCCAGAGACTAAAACAGCATGGTAATAACCAAACCCCAGGAAACAGCAAAGGGAAGGGAAGATGGGAGGGAGGGAGAAAGGGAAGGAGGGAGGGAGGGAAGAAAAGGAGGAAGGGAGGGAAGGAGGGAGGGAGGGAAGAAAAGGAGGAAGGGAGGGAAGGAGGGAGGGAGGGAAGAAAAGGAGGAAGGGAGGGAAGGAGGGAGGGAGGGAAGAAAAGGAGGAAGGGAGGGAAGGAGGGAGGGAGGGAAGAAAAGGAGGAAGGGAGGGAAGGAGGGAGGGAGGGAGGGAGAGAGAGGAGAGAGGGAGAGAGGGAGGAAGGGAGAGGGGGGAGGGAGAGAGGGAGGGAGGGAGATAGAGGAGGGAGGGAGGGAAGGAAGGAGGGAGAAAAAAGAAACAGGAGGAAACAGGAAACAAACGCGTTGAAAGGCATTGGCTTGTAGTGAAACAGTCAGTGACAAAAATCAGCCCAGAGACTGTCTGGCTTGAAACGTAACTTGTAATATTGTTGTTGCCTAATAAAGATTTATTTAATTTACTTTTCTAATTCTAGAAGTTTAGAACCTAGCAGTGTTTTGTCATGTAATGTAGTTCTTTTAAAGGGAATGGAAATTTAACATGGTTTTTGGTAAATTTAAAGTGCTTTTTTTTTAACAATATGGAAAATAATTCCTATTTAAAACTAAGCATAATTAAAAAGGAGAAATTAAGTAAAACCTTTAGAACTTTGCTCCCTAGCTTCACAAACTAGCTGGTTTAGTAATTATGCCAAATTGGTTGATTTGCTGGGTGCTAATGTGCTCCTCAGTTAGAGATGGTCTAAGTGAAAATATCACCTATATTTCTAGAACAATAAAAAATATTACCCTGTGATTCTTAAGGACTGTGCAGCATTGCAGTTACGGAGCACAGGACTGTCTACACATCTGCTGAGGTGGCCGTTCAGCTGCCTTGCTGTTACCCTTAGAATGCACCCAGTTCAGCCTGCACTGGGGCCACAGGTGAAGCCACAGCCTCTGAACCATCCTCTGCAGTTTCTGAAGGAGCAGACAGACACTGTGCCCCGAGAGGCCTCATCTAGAAGATCAAACTAGAAACATTGGTCCTTCCAAGGGCCAGATGCAAACGCTACGGGAAGCTGCGTGGATCACGTAGGGCACATACTTCAGAGATGATCTCATCTGATTTCCAGAGAAAATGAGCGGCTATTAAAGGCAGTAGGACTTTAAAAGGAATTCTAAACCTTGGAAAACTGGATTTACACCAAATCCATTTAAACACTGAGTGTTGTAAGGATATGCATATATGTATATACTGTATATATGTATGTGTATATATTTGCATTTGATGACTATATTTAATGCACATAATTATCAAATAGCTGACTTTATAAATAAAAACCTGAATCTCTAATTGTGAAGATGGGCCATGAATCTGTTGGCAAGAAGGCAAAGAAAACCAGGGAGTAGTTCTGGCTCCTCTAAAAGACCAGTTCAGACTCTGGGATGGAAGCCACATCCATCTTTCATGTAACTAACAAGGGGATCTATCTGAACCAAGAGATTTAGATGTTTTTCCTGACTTTAGTTTGCCCAGAAAGACCCAATATGAAAACAATGTCAAGTTAATTGACGGTGCCCAATGACCTAGATCAGATCACGCTTGCTTCAGGTCACCAAGCTCTAAAACAACCGCATACTATCTGAGAAGTCCCCAGTGATGGCAGTTCATGATTTGGGATTTACTTCACTCCAGTGTATTTTTAACAACACACTTTAAAACATACAGCTAGAGCCACTGTTTCCCTTCAGTACATAAACACTAAAGCACTTATGATCACAGGCACTGTGTTGTTCATCCAGGATCATTAGACAGAGAAGCAGTTTTTTGTTTTTGTTTTTTTCAGAGTCTTAAAGTTAAAACTCGGAGTCAAATTACCCATCTTTGATTGCTCTACTAATATTGTCAAGGCCTGGGCTGAGGAGATGGCTCCGTCAGGAAAGTGTGTGAGGTGTGCCTGTGCCTGCAGCCCAACACTGGGGAAGCAGAGATGGGAGGATCTCTGGGTCTGCTGGAATCAGTGAGTTCCGGTTCAATGAGAGACCCTGCCTCAAAAAATAAGATGGAGAGAGATAGAGGAATATACCACTGTCAGCTACAGGTCTCCGCGTGCATATATATCTACATGTGCACATGTACTCACACAAACATGCACATACAAAAACACATTAAGAACACAAAAATTGTGTTAAAGAAGTTTATTTCTTCACCATGCACAAGCACCTGCAAATGTTTTTGGTGTAGGGGTTAGATATTCCCGGCAGCTGTTATTTGAGGGCATCTTACGTTCAGTGCATGCTTCCATAATGACCAGTACATGGGGAAAAGCATAAAGAATCATGAACACACTGGTTTCCAAAGGTCTCTCTGGAAATGACACACATTAGTGATGCATTTCTGTAGCCAAAGCAACTTACAGAACCACACGAACTTCAGAGGCCTAGAGAAAGACTTTTGCACACACCACAGAAGGAAAACCCAGGTTTCAGTGGCATTAGTCATGTCAGACCTTGTAATGTCCTCCATTTTTTTTTTAGATCAAAGTTTACATTGAACAAACTAACTGTGGGCTTGAGGTGAACAGTCTGATAAAATTTCTCTTTAGAACTGTGACTGCACCTGCCTCCCCACAGCGTTGTCTTAGAAATAGAGAAGAAAATTCTATTCTTTTAAAGTATTTTACTTTTTTTTTTTTTTTTGGTTTTTCGAGACAGGGTTTCTCTGTGTAGCTTTGCACCTTTCCTGGAACTCGCTTTGGAGACCAGGCTGGCCTCGAACTCACAGAGATCCGCCTGGCTCTGCCTCCCGAGTGCTGGGATTAAAGGCGTGCGCCACCACCGCCTGGCTTAGTATTTTACTTTTATTATTTGTGTATGTGTGTTGTTTGTATGAGTGTTCACCATCTATGTGTGGGTGTCCTTGGAGCCCCGAAGCTGGGGTTACAGACAGTTATGGACTCTGGATGGGGGTGCTGGGAACCAAACTCTGTCTCCCCACGTTCTCTCTGTAATGGGTTTTGTACTACCTCCTCAGAATGTGTCCACTCTTTGACTCTGTTCAAGTGTGAGAGTTGTGACACTCACTGCAAAGTCCTTCCTCTGCCTTCTCTGCTCAATCCAGGCCCCCTGGAAATGCTACAGACAGCTGCTCCCTGCCTAAAACATAAAGCTGCAGCTCAGAGCTGGTGAATGCTCAGTGGGCAGTGCTTACCGTGCACACATAAAGACCAGAGTTCAGGCCCCCAGCACCCATGTGAATGCCAGGTGGGCATGGCAGCCCCCATACAATTCCAGCATTCTGCACTCCAGAGAAGGACAGGGCACCCCGAGAAGCTGGCTACTCAGACTAGCCAAATCAGTGAGCTCCAGGTTCAAGTGAGAAACTTGCCTCAGGAAATAAAGCAGAGGGTGATCGTGGCAGAGTCCTGATAGCAACTCTGGCCTCCACTTGCACACATATGTATACCCATACATATGCAAACATGCATGCATACATACACACACCACATATATGAATACCCTAAAAGTAATAGTTCAGAAGTAATCTGACCATTGAAGGGAAAGAGAAAGAGAGAGATTATCTCCATTTCTTGATTTCTTTGTTTCTACAAAAGAATATAGTGTGAAGCCAGGTTAACCATCACTCATCATTCACCCAAGTTTGTGCAGGTTCTTCCATGCGTGTGTCTCAGTCTGCTCACCACTCCCCACACTTGTGTAGGAGACCCTTCAGTCTGCTGTGCTATGAGGAAACAGTCCTGCACTTGTGCTAGGGATGCTTAAGTCAGCTGCTGCTGACGTGAGGTCAAACACTGTCTCTACTTAGCCAATGTTTTACCTTCTTAAATTCTTTTCTTTTGCAAGACAAAAGGTAATCAGACTTTTTCTGTAAAAGACACAGACCTGGGCCAGGTGTGGTGGTGCACATCTAACCCAGCACCTGGGAGGCGGAACTCTATGAACTGGAGGCCAGTCTGGTCTGCACAGAGCTTTCCAGGCCATCCAGGGATACACAGTAAGACCTTGTCTCAAAACAACAATAAAACAAAATAAAAAACAAATAAAAAAAAAAAAAGAGCAAAGTCTTGGAAAGATGGTTCAGTGGTTAAGAACACAGGCTATTCTTCCAGAGGTTCTGGGTTTAATTCCCAGTACTCACATGGCAGCTCATACCTACCGCCAGGGGATCCAACATCTTCTTCTGGCCTCTGTGGGTACCAGGCATGCATGTGGTACAAAGATATGCATGTAGGCAAAACACTCATACACATAAAATAAACAAATAAATAAATTTTAAAATAAAATAATAAACATACATGCATGCACTCACATGCACACACATGTAACTCTAAACAAACAAAATCTTAACAATTAAAAATTTAAAAAGACAAGATGCCAAATACTTTAGGCTTTGTGTGCTGGATATGATTTTGATCTCAAATCTTCTTTTTTTTTTAAGCTATATCTTAAAACTATTATAAACTATTGTTCACTTGAGAGCCATATGAAGACGGAAGTGGATGGATTTGCTTGTAGGATGTTGTTTATAAAGCCTGCTTGGGCAGTGAGCTACTTCTGGATCCTAACTGGATCAACCCATATATCATCACCTCTAAGCTCCCAGCTTCTATTACCCATATCATAGGAACAACAATGTTCTCTCATCAAGACATTAACAAGAATGTTCAATAGAACAGGCTGGAGGCAAACCCACGGCATACCCGTGGCAATTTCTCAGAGGCTGGCATCCATCAGTTTCTGTGTTCTATGGGGATCTGTGAATCGAGAACCTGCAGGCACAGCTTAGCTCAAAATGACAGCAACAAACTTTGCCAAAGCTTTGCTCAAATACCAAAGATATGGTCTATACCAACCTCTGAGAGGGACTACTAGTAATGTGCCTGGTTTGATCATTGTTACACACGCACACTGTAACTATGCCCCACAAACATGGACAGGTATCATGTCTACTAAAAATGTTTCAAAATGAGAATTCTTTTTGCCTGACAGGAGAGATGCTCAGTGAACTGATGGTGCCTCCTAGTGAGCACGGCCTGCGAGACTCAGGTACTAGTTCTCTCAGCTGACATCAAGGTGTCACAACTTCGGATTTTAAATTCTTTCCTTCTGTGATAAGAAGACAGGCTAGCTAGCCTCGCCTTTCTGCTGCTCTACTGTTCTACACCACCAGGCCAGAGTATAACCTTAATATGTGTGTATGTATGTACGTATGTATGTGTGTATGTATGTATGTATGTATGTATGTATGTATGTATTGTGTATGTGTGTATGCATGTATTATGCATGTATTGGGGGTGTATAGATCATGACAAGAACGTGGAGATCAGAGGACAATTTGCAGGAGTTGGTCCTCTCCTTCCATGCTGGTCCTAGGGATCAAGCAAAAGTTGGCAAGCTTGGTGGCCAGCACCTTTACCCTCTGAGCCATCTTACTAGTCCCTGGTGTAACTTAATTAGTCCAGCAAATGATTCAGTGTTCTAGATCGGGGCTTGACAAACTCCAGGCCACACATAAAAGGCCAGACTGCCACTTGATTTGTAAGTAAGCTTTCACTGAACAAAGCTGTGCTCCTTCATTTGCATATTATCACATCTGCTTTCACACTGCAAGAGCTGAACAGTGTCAGCAGACGACCTACTCCCCAAAGCTGCAAGTTCTCACTCTCAGGTCCTTTGTGGATGAACTTCGTTAATGTCAGCACTAGGTAGGCCCAGACCCAAACCTATCCCCCTTTATCTTATGAACCTTCATTCTACTCTTGCTAAACCACAACCTGTTCTTCCTAGGAGCGATAACTAAGAATTGAGAACAGCAGTGGGTAACATCACCTTGTCTTTTGCTAGTCCTCTGGACCAGATGCCAACATCTTCATGCCCTGGAATAATGACCTCCCACTTCATTCTTCAGGCTGATGTCCAGATGGACAGCATTGTTTTTAGCATTATTCTTTGACAACTTCATACATGAATATAACATATTTTGGTCATTTTCACCCTCATCGCTGTCTCTTACCCCCTCCCACTCCTGCTGAACCTCTTCTTCTCCACAAGTCCCCTCCTACTTCCATCTTTGGGGGAGGGTTATTCATGTGTGTGTGTTCCATGAGGTTTAATTAAAGCCATTAGCAGGAGCATAGCTTAAGTGTTTTTGTTTGTTTTGTTTTTTTGGAGCGTGGACAAACAACACCCAGTGGCTCTAACACCCACTGAAGAAAATGACATCTCCCTGAGCGAGCACTAAAACTGCCAATACGTCTCAGGAAGGGGTGGGGCCTAAAAAGCTCCTCCCCCACACATGATGGAATGTTGACAGGCCCTATCTTGTTGGACAGTATTTTAAAGAGGCAAACTGTTTTACCTAACTTCAAGGCTTCAGGAGCTCCTCTTATTAAGCACAGGACAAAAACACTCCAAGCCTGCTTAGACATTTTTGCCTGCAGCTATTCTTTCCCACAAACACCCAATGAGTAGCTAAAATCAACTGCTGCTATCAACTGCCACATTCCCTTAGTCCTCTCTGCACTGTGCCCATCACCCCTCTGCACTGTGCCCATCACCCCTCTGCACTGTGCACATCACCCCTCTGCACTGTGCCCATCACCCCTCTGCACTGTGCCCATCACCCCTCTGCACTGTGCACATCACCCCCCTGCACTGTACACATCACCCCTCTGCACTGTGCACATCACCCCTCTGCACTGTGCCCATCACCCCTCTGCACTGTGCCCATCACCCCTCTGCACTGTACACATCACCCCTCTGCACTGTGCACATCACCCCTCTGCACTGTGCACATCACCCCTCTGCACTGTGCACATCACCCCTCTGCACTGTGCACATCACCCCTCTGCACTGTGCACATCACCCCTCTGCACCTTGCATGCCATCCCCCCTGCACTGTGTACACCTTTACTCTCTGCCTAGACATCATCATTCACTGCTACTCTTCAAGTTCTGCATTAAATGTTTTCTCCTTTGAATTTTTCTTATTTCTCTGGTAAAATTAAGAGTTACTTTGCTCTCTTGTGCCATTTTGCCTCAAAAGTCTATGAGTATGTAAGTATGTGAGCATGCATGCAAAGCAGACAGACAGATAGCATGCTGTGTTTTCTAACTAAACTGTCACTGTGTGTTGTAATATGGCTGCATACCTGTCTTACTGTCGTAGACTGTAAAGAACTGTGACTCTGATCTTGTCATCTCTGACGTCTCATAAACATCCTACTACAGAAATCTCTGGCTCAATGGTGTATAAAGGGAATATGAAGAATGTTTTCACAGTCCTTCTTGGTCAAAAGAAATATATGACAATTCCCTTTACTAAGTAGTTAGGTCCAAACAACTGAACTGAAATTCACATTCTAACAAAGTAGATACCATGTTCATGTTCTAACTAAGTAGCCATTTGAAAAAGCAATCTGTGCAAACTGAAAGAAAGGTAAATATTTTATATCATCATAAATACATAATCAGTTACCAATGGTATAGCCAAATTTCTAAGTAGTCTTATTAAATAAAAAACATGGAGCCAAATACAGGAGTGAAAGAAAGCCTTAGAGATCAGGGAAACAGTGGGAGCCTCCAACAACCTTACCTCAACACCCATGCAACTGGGACCCCGATTTCCTAAGCCACACTCAGGGAACCAGGGAGGCACACAGAAGGCCACACTCACAGAACCAGGGAGGCACACAGAAGGCCACACTCAGGGAACCCAGGAGGCACACAGAAAGGCCACACTCACAGAACCAGGGAGGTACACAGAAGGCCACACTCACAGAACCAGGGAGGTACACAGAAGGCCACACTCACAGAACCAGGGAGGCACACAGAAGGCCACACTCACAGAAACAGGGAGGCACACAGAAGGCCACACTCAGGGAACCCAGGAGGCACACAGAAAGGCGCTTACCGTGATTCTCTTCATGTCTAGCTGGCGCAGCTGCATCATATTCTGAAGGACCGTGTGTTTGTACCATGACTCTTGCGCTATTGGATTGCCATCAAAGGTGATGTCTGAGAGAGAAGTTGAGTCAGCAAGGCAGGAAACACTGTCAAAGCTGCAAAAGAGAGGCCACTGCATTATTCTGAGGCTTTTCAAATAATATTTCCAGTTTCTAAAATAAGATTTTGCTTAGTTTTTTAAACTATTTTATTTTTTAATTATTTTTTATGTACACATTTGTTTCTGTGAGGGTGTCAGATATCTTGGAACTGGAGTTACAGGCAGCTGTGAGCTGTCCTGTGGGTGCTTGAAATTGAACTCGGGTCCTCTGGAAGAGGAGCCAGTGCTCTTAACCCCTGCGCCATCCCTCCAGCCCTTGTTTGGTTTTTTGAGACTGTCTTGCTATGTAACCCTGGCTGGCCCAGAACTTACATACTAGGTAGACTGGGCTAGCCTTGGGCTTACAATATAACCTTCAGCCTCAGCCTCTAAGAACTGAGATGACAGACAGGTGGTATCATGCACAGCACATTAGGGAACTTTGAAAGAATAATTTAGATCTGCAGAAGAACTAAGATGGTGTACAGAGTTTCCATACGCTTCATCCCCCCAGAGTCCCTCCACACTCTTAAACACATGTGTGAGTATATATGGATATACAGGGTTAGCACTCCCTCGGTTTCTGGCACTACGTTACTTACTCTCTGAACTCACACATTCCTTGCCCATGCCTGAAGGCAGCCACTTCTCAGCACAGTAGTTCCTTGTATTAGAGACCAGAGTCAGCAACCAAGGCCCGGGAGGGAAGTGTACTTTCTATCTATTGTGACACCACTTCTTTTTTAGGCCTCTCAGATGGGAGAGGAAGTGTGTGTGTACACCGTCCTGTGTGTATGCATATACACATGCCTTAACATGTCTCCATACAGCCAGCTGTGTTTATATTAACTAACACAAGTTCATAGTGATGTCTCCAAATCTCATCTATTAGCCAAGCTTCCTCCCCTTCCCTGTCTGGAAACCCCCACTCCAACTGAGAGGAACCTGGCTCATAGCATCCACTAGCCATTTTCTGGAATTTCCTATTCCAGTTTATATGTATAGAGGCACTAGAATTTTTTAAAACTGCACCCAGAACACTATTTTCTCAATCAAATGACCAATGTTATGTAGGTCACCATGCCCCTCCACACCCCAAGATTAGCTCATACATTTGCAATACAATCAGAACTTCTCCAAGTCAGAGCCTGCATCCCTTCCTGGGATTTCCATGTCCCTTGATGATTTTTCCAATGATGCACACCTTGAGGTTCCCTCTCTAGGGCTCTGACATTCCATGACTTGTAACAAATGCATAGCGGTATGTGTTTACTACTAAAGTACCATGTAGAGTAATTTCCATGGTCTTAAGAAACTCCTCTCTGCCTTCCCCTGTCCCCCAAATTCCTGGAAAGCACTGATCTTTTTACTCTCAGGGTTCTACAATTTCCAGAATGGTGGATGGCTGGAATCATGTACTACAACATACTCTTAGGGAAGGACTTCTTTCATTTGGCAATACACGTTTAACAGGCTTCCACCCATGTCTTCTCTTCATAGTGCATTTCTTTTCATAACTGAGTAATATTCTGTTGTATGAGAGTACCTCTTTCTTCATCAACTACAGAGCACGCCTTGACTGATGATAAGTGAAGCCACTGTGCATCCTTGCCCACAGCTCTCTGTGGTCATTTTAACCTCAGATGGATACATAACAAGAGTGCTTCTGCTGGCGTACATGTAAGGCTGGTTATTTGGCTGGGGAGAAGCTCATCTAGGGCTCTCAGCTCCCTGTCTCCGCCAGCATCTAGTGTTCATGGGTGTCTCTGTATGCTAAGGGCTCCGTCAGGTGAACGGTGGCAGGGCCTTGTTTACTCAGCAGATCCCTGCTGCAGGTGACTGGAGCATCTCACAGGCACACTCTCAGTGTGGCATCTTCCTGGAGTTTGCAGAGCCTTTGCTCATTTTCAGTGGATTATTTGTCTCCTTATTGTTGAGTTTTACAAGATTTATTAAAATATATTATGATGCCAGGCAGTGGTGGCACACGCCTTTAATCCCAGCACTTGGGAGGCAGAGGCAGGCGGATCTCTGAGGTCAAGGCCAGAGAGAGTTCCAGGAGAGCCAGGGCTACACAGAGAAACCCTGTCGAGAAAAAGCAAACAAATAAAAATGTATATTTACTATGTAGTGTGTGCATGGACGTGCAGACGCCATGGCACTTGTGTGGAGGTCAGAGGAAAACGTGGGAGCTGGTTCTCCCCTGCCACCATGTGGGTCCCGTGGGTCATCTCAGGCCCTTGGGTATGGACTGGATGTCTTTACCTGCAAGCCAACTTCCTGGCCTCTTCATTCCCTTAACAGTGCCTTTCACAGAGCAGGGGGTTAATTCTAGTGATATATAACTTAGTAATTTTTTCTTTTTCTTTCTTTCTTTCTTTCTTTCTTTCTTTCTGTCTGTCTGTCTGTCTTTCTTTCTTTTCTTCTTTTTCTGATTCTATTTTGGTTTCTGAAGGCTGTCAGGGTTTTCTTCTATAATTTACTTTTAAGAGTTTTACATTTAGGCTTACAACCCATTATGAGTTAATTTAATGAAAGGTCCAAACTCACATTTTCCCACATTGATGAACTGTCTGCTTTTTTGCTGCAGATCCTTTGACTGTATCTCCGTGGGTATTTCCAAGCCTGTACGTGGTTCCATTGATGGACAACATGTCTATTCTTTTACCTCTGACCTGCTGTAAATGCTGTGGCTTCAGAGGAGGTCTCCGTAATGCAGCTTTAAAATGATTCTAAACATGTCACAGTTCACTCTGCGAATGTCACTGACAAGAACATGTAGTATCTCTTCCCATGAAAATGTGACATTGTACCTAATCAGGTCACAGGTGAATGACTGTCTTCAACTACTAGACTCCAAAATACACATCAGTCCACCCTCCCCACAGACATACTGAAGACCTAGCCTCTGGCACGGCTGCTTCTGTTAGCTGCAAACTGCTCTCCCAAGTGTCGCTTGTGAGTGCTGAGGAGGCTGTGTGCCATCGTGGATCTTGTCTGTGCTGATCAAACCACCGCCATGAGGACATGCCATGGAAAAATAATCCTCAGCTTAATTGGACTTTATGTCTAGAAAGGCTTCCTTCCTTTCTATTCCGGCACCTAGACTGTAACAATTGGGTTCTAAGGGACATAAAACTTCCTGTGTGGTCACTATGCCTCATCTGTCAAGCTCATTCCTTCTTCCCTTGTCAAGTGCAGTGAGTGAAAGCCGAGAAGCATCGCCTCCCCAGAGACAGTGAACTGTGTGGTTAATGAAATCACAGTTTCAGGGACAACTCTGCTCAACTGTACCAAACAGTCCTTACAGGCTGGTGTAACTCTTCAAGTTCTGCCCTTCAGTGTTATGCCAGGACTCTGGGAATTGGCCCTTAGACACAAGATGTAGAAATCTTTTTGATATCTAGAAAACCACACACTGAGATTTTGATTTTTTTAAAGACCAAATAATCACTTTATAAATACTACTCTGAAAAAAACTGGGAAATTCATTTACACCGGAGTTCAGCAACAAACACTTATGCTGAAGAATGCATAATTTTTCAGGATTTATGTTGAAAATTACACCCCTCAATGAGGAAAAGAAGACACACAATAGTGTGCTACAAAACAATCATGTGACAGGTACAGAAGACTTTCCTCATCTGTTGTCATATTCAGACAATTCCTCATATTTTGATTGGATTCAAAGTAAAAACATCCTGATGTGATTACACCTCAGAGCTGATCTTTACTGAACTATAAGATGAGTTCACGATCTGAATGTGTGTCAAGGCATTTGAGACACATCAGGATAATTACAGAAAGGCACTTAAAACAGGGGGAAAAGGAAGTCTGCAAATTTAAATCTAATAATGGCTTTAAGTATAAGTGGATTTGAAAAAAGAGCTGCCACTCCGCACCAATGCCCTTCCCCAAAACCAGTGAGTGAGGATAGAAACTAACAGGAACCATCAGGGGATTTTAGAAATGAAGTGGGTAGGGGAGAGGGCTGAGAGCTGGGGAGTGGGTAATGGAGGCGGGGATGGTAGATGGTGGCCGTCATGTGACCAGAACTGTAGTTCAGAAAAATCACAATTCAGTAACACTGCACAGTGAATACAGGAAAGAAAAGGGTTCCGAATGGAAAGTTGGATGTAAGTTTGATTGCAGCAGTAGGTGAAAAGTTGTTAGAGATGAACACAGTAAAGACTATGGTAATCTTTCTGGGAGTAAGGAGGAGAGGGTCTATGGAAGGCTGGATTGTGAAAAGGAGTCTGTAATCACTTGGATGTGATAGAGAATGCTGAATAATATCTAGGCTTCTCTCTCAAGTGACTAACCACAGTTGTGGTTACAGGGTACAGATGTTGCCAAAATTCATTAGACTATGCTTCAAATGAGTATATTTACTACATGTAACTTATTTTTCAAAAAGATGACTCAGAAAAATTTGAGACTACTTTGTAAGAAACACATAATTGTAGGACTGGATGAAACAATAGGAGAAAGTCTAATTGTTCCAAAGAACTTCCTGATGATAAAAAAAAAAGATAAATGGATTTTCCCATCCTAGTCTCTTAGAATTACTTAAAAGCTCATATACTATTCAAGAATTATTATAACCTGATGCATATTACTAATCAGATAGACACACTGAAAGAAAAGCAAACAGTATGCCCAGAATCAAAGACAAGTGGCATGCCTTTATCGCATGGCAGGTGGGTTCTAGCTGTGTTCTTATTCACTATCTACAACTAGACTGCAGAACCTAAGATTTGTTTCTTAGTGCTGTGTATAATTTTGAAGTAACACTAGCATCAAAACTAAGGATGCATGAAAACGTCGGCTCACAAAGAATCTCAATTACACTCACCGGAAGTCTTCCCAGCCCCACCTCTCCAGTACGTCTTTGGGGTTGGTCTAATGATCATCAGTTAAAAGAATGGGTGGTGCCACACACAAAACTAAATGCTATCTTCAACAAAGACAAGTATAAAATGAGTTTGTGTGTAGAGTGGGAAGCTGTACACCCAG